TCTTTCTTTGTTATTTGGTTTTTAACTCTCCTGCAGAGAGATCGTTTTAAAAACTTCACTTGTGTCTTTTCTCTTCCTCTGACAGAGATCATGAGTGGAGACCTGTTAGAGGACTTGATGTCATCAGAAGGTAAGTTTGTGTTAAAAACACATGTTGTAATGCATGACTCTTGCTAAAGTCCTATGACACATGAAGAAATGCAGACAGCTAAATCAATTAAAGGTCACATGTTCTCCTTCTCTTCAACCAGTTTAAATAAGTGTCAGAGCTTTACAATATTCCTATCACCACTCTTAAAATAGTATTTTCAAGTCGTATCAATCTGTGGAAAAAGCATAGCATAAATTGCCTTGTAGGCTAGAGAAATAAACTTTTTTCTGGTGAAACCCAGCAGAAACCTCCGGTGTTAAAGACTGAAGCCAGTAGTAGTAGGAAGTGCAAAATTTTGCAATTTGTAGATTGTCCCCTCGAGGCTGACTGAACACCCCATTGGAAATAGGTCTGATTATCTTATGTCTCAATTGGCTCACATTGTACGGGGGTCATTTTTTAAATAACTAATCTTTTGGGAATTTATGAAGGATAAGAGTAATAAGGCGAGGAGCTGGCCTGATTGACAGGCAGGGGGCAATGTAGCTGTTTGTAAGGAGGCTTAAAACCCGCCATTGATGGAAATCCAAAGCGCCCTTCATGAACAGATGGGTGACGTCACTCAGGCTTCATCCATTAATATTTACAGTCTGTGGATTAAACATGATGGTATTATATTAGTACATTGACCATTGTGCATACTGGATCTCAGTGCCTCCTTTAGGATGTATTGGAACTCAACTGGACTCGTAATCGTTTTAAACATCCTGCATGTCTAACCTCTCTCTCTCTCTCTCTCTCTCTCTGTCGCACCTCCAGTGTTCTCGCCTCTCCTCCGTCTCTCACCTCCACCCAGCGACCACGACTACATTTACAACCTGGACGAAACAGAAGGCCTGTGTGACCTCTTCGACGTCCCCATTCTCAACCTCTGACGCCTGACACTGTTGTCAAAAGTGGGAGACCGAGTTCCCCATCATGCTAATCCACCTTCAATTACTCCCAAGATGTTCCCCCTCAGTGATGCTGAGAGGAGGAGGAGGAGGAGCAGCAGCAGCAAAGCCAACATCGTCTGATGAGTGCTTCAGACACGTCCTCTGCACTGACGCAGTGAGCTCAGGCCAACGAGATGATGTACAGCTTTGTAAGAAACACACGCAAAACAAAAACATTTAACTTACTGCTTTCCCAGGAAAATTATTAATAACAAATGATTATATTTTTGGATTGTTATGAGTGATAAAACATGTTTGTGTATCAGCTTCCCTATGAGTGAAACTGTGTGGGCATACTTTACATGAGTGTGTGTGTGTGTGTGCGACTGAGTTTTGTACTGAACGCTCGCTGAGTCAGCTCTCAAAGGAAAACACAGAAACCCTTTCTCCTGTCAGGTAAAGAGTCATTGCAGACAAACCAAGTACATCCTCCATCTCCCCAGTATCTGCTCATGAGTGGCTCGCATGAGTCCAAACACAGCTGGTTAAATATGCACTGTCCTCATGTACATAGAGAATATATATTTTGTAATACCAGCGCACCAAACTATTGTGTAAAGATGAACTACATTTGTACTGCATGCAGGGCGACATGTTTGCAAATACACAAAGGTACCAGACGCAAATGAGCATGCTTTATGTATCAAGTGCTTTGTTAATTGTTCTGAATCAACGGAGCATTTTCAGTTAGTTTAAATCAAACCTTTCAGTGACTGAGCGGTCTTTGTGTGCCACTTAGAGAAAGAGGAGCTTACTGTTGGATTACTCAAGTGAATAAACCTTCTGACATGAAGAGGAGGGAGTCACATTTGATGACTCAAACACTTCTCAGGCGCTTGTCAAAATAAAGCAGCGTCTTTTCTTTTTGGCCGACATAAAGCCTGCCTTTGTTCTCTCACTGGTTGGTTCGGCTTTGGCACTTCTGCACTGAGAGGTTTGGTCGTAAAATAAAAAATAAGCTCGCTTTCGGTTTCATTTTGCCTCTGGACTTTTGAACTTTGCCTTTTTATGTATGGCCTGTGATTTATATATAATTTAACTTTGTACGTCGGATGGAATCGCTTCTTCTTCCCCTCTCCAGATTGACTTCTGTTTATTTTCAATTATGTATGTTTATTAAAACCATCGTACCCAGTTCATTTGTATGTAACGATGTGTATGTATTTGGGGTGGATTTATTTACAGATGCAGTGAATATAGTCCCCATGTCATGATAAATGCTCCTGGGTTTGTTTTCTTTTTGTATATTTGGCACAGATTCCTATTCAACATTTGTTTTCTGCTGCTCTTTCTGTTCGTGGTCAATGAAATTCTGGCTTTCTCTCTAATTTTGAATGTCTCATTAAATAATTTCTCTGCAGACGAGCGGTGAGGTTCAGGTCAGGATGAGTTCTCGCTCGTCAGACAGAATAATATCGACATGATTCATATTCCCGCAGTGCTTCTTCTTGTGTCCTGTTCCGCCCTGGATTACATGAATCCATGTCCTGTGTGTATATCCCTCTCTCTAGCGCTTGTATAGAATAGCATTTATTTTTTATACCTGATACATATATTATTACCTGCGACTAATTTGGGGCTTCAACACTTCATCATTTAAAGAATTTATCCGCCGAACTTTGTGCTTTATGAAAACATCCTGTCTCATTGTTGCACTTTACATCACTGTGAACCGATTGGTTGCTACTCATCCACTCGTGGTCGATCGTTGTGTTTGTACAGTGTTGTGAGTTTGTCTTAATCCTTCAACAGAGCAGCCCGGGGGGGCCAGGGGGAGTTCAACACCGCTGGGTCGAGTGAGTGGTGTCTGTTTGTGTTGGCATGTGCGACTGAATAATCCCACAGACTGTTTTTTTTTATAACTGTTGCTAAGCTGTAGTCGCATCATATGACACAAAATAAACACACTTTGGTATTCTTCGAGCTGTGTCTGGTTTCAGTTTTTAGAAACCTGTTGCGTTGTTGACGTCATGTGTTTGAGAGTTTGCTGAAATAGTATATGTGGTGGTACAGTAAGTGAACCCTAGGGTCCTATATTGAATTTGGAAATGTTTAATTTTATAGTCAAACACACTGTGACTCCTCGACTAAATTTTCATTTTTCACCTGCGCAGCTGTCCTTAGAGTCAGCCTCTAGTTTGACACTAATGCTTACCTCAAAATTATTTTATTTGCACCTTTAATGTTTGCACGGACTGTTTTTACATTTTGAGCTACCTTCATTTAAGACACTGCTTCACACATAAACAACACAAATTTCCGTCCTGTTTGGACGAGGAGAGATCTTAACAGATACCCCTCTCCCCCCATTTTTCCTAACATTAACTATAAGTTTGACCATTTCTCTGGTTTCTCTCAAAAATCTCCATTGCAGTCTTGCTTTGCAACCTACTAAATATCAATGAAGAATCATTACCAATCCGACCTAGAATAAGGATCTCTTTAGCTTTATAATAGTTATTATTACTATAGTACTTGAAAACCTGTTTTTCTTCTTTCTCTCACCTTCATGGTGTGGCTGTGGGTCAGTTGGTAGAGTCAGTCATCTCTCAGCCAGAAGGTCAAGGGTTCAATCCCCGGCTCCTGCAGCAACATGTCCAATGTTTCTTTGGGCAATACTCTTAACCCCAAATTGCTCCCGCTGCTTTGTCAGCAATGTATGAATGGGATTAGTTACTTCTGATGGACACTTTACTCAGCAGCCTCGACCATCAGTGTGTGAATGTGATGGTGTGACCTGCGGTGTAAAAGCACTTTGTCAGAAGACTAGAAAAGAATGATACAAGCTCTTTTGCGCTTTTGTTATTCTCTTCCTTTAACCCTTTCTTACGTTGTTTTATGATTGGAATATTGATTTTAAGGAGAGGGGGGTTAATTTTCCTGTCAGAATTGCATACATATATATTTAATAGTTTCTAAAGGTTTTCATATATTTTTTGTATAAAACTTGATAAATGTTGTGTCTCACCACACAGGGAGAAACACAGGACCCACATATAATATGAGGGATGAAAAAAGTGATACAAGTGGAGTTTGAAATGTTGCATTTGTTCCTGAATTTTGGTTCATAGAGAACTTTGGGGGGTAGTGTCCCCTCTACACTTGGTTGCCATGGGAACAAAGAGAAGGGAGGGAGTATGACAATGAGAAGCTACAATATCTACACAGACATAGAAACATGATTACTGATGACAGAAATGTTTTGCTTGACATGATATTTAAATTAATTCTGTATAAACATGACAAACATTTTAAAGATCATCACAAAAAAGTAGAACCAGGATGTAACATAGGAGATTAAAACATATCCAGAACCCCGGAGTCAAGCTGTGGCATTTGCTTACATGGCCAGCAATACAAATAATTTAAAAATAAATGTTGATTGTTAATTTTCCTCTCAGGGATAATAAAGACGACCCGGAAATGATTGTTAGGTGTCACTAACTGTAACAACGTAGGTGTTGAATGCAGTTCTGTTAATATTTAACTAGCGTTGAAAAACGATTGTGTAAACTATCTTTCAAACAAATGGGACGGCAGGGGGCGACGGTACCCCACCCGGAACTTTGAATTAATTCGTCTAAGAACTTCTTGGAAATTTGCAAAGAAAAACTGGTCTAGCTCAGCTTGAATATCAACATTATATCCAGAGTTTATATTATTAATTTCAAAATAAAAGCGCAAAATTGATCGAGGAATTCAGTTGTTAATTGACTGCCTTTCGTGGAAGACACTGGGATGGTAAACAAACACATGAAAACATATAATTCAAATGCATGTTTTGCTTTAAATAAATAAAGAAATGATCGTCACTTTCCCCTGCAAAGTTTCTGTTTCTACGCTTGATTAGTACTTAAACTGGACTTTTATTCTGAAAGCCCTGGCCGGAAGCCATCATCCAAATGTGTCCGTCTTGACACAAAACTCTCGTCCGACCAACTCAAACCAACCCGGAACTTTTTTACGACAACTAAAAAACATTCTTGGAAAGTTATAACAAGGAGTTTCTTTGTGTTTTCGAACAGTTTGAATGTGTTAATAAGAAAAAGAAACTTTTAAGGACTGAGGACTGTTTTAACCGAGGAGGTGGGGGAAAAAAAGAGGAGACTTTCAAATGTTTCTCGCTCGGTCTGCGGCGGCTCCTGCAGGACAGTAAAACCACGACTTATCTTTTCAAACCAGGTAGGACGCAGGCAGAAAGTAAAGCTCTGCAGCCGACTCTCACACTTCTTTCTGTTTATTTTCACACAGCTGTTAACCTGCTACATGTATTCATGCTATGTTAATATAGTTTGGGATGACTTTATTGCCTCAGCTCAAACATTCAAGCAGCACTGACTTTATGTGAGTAACTCGTATGTTCACTGAATTGTATTTGTATCATTGGGATAAAAAGGCTAATACGTCTGCATAGTGTGAGAAAAATTACAATGAGCGATACATTTGTTGAATATATAACAGAATCAGATATTAAAGATCAGTTGTAGCTGTGTAATGTTGACTGTGATTTCAGGATATGAGAATAAACCCCCAAATCATCTCTAAATTGGCCCAGATTAATTTGATAGTTTGCTTGAGCTCCATAAAATGAAAAGCTTGTGAAAACATCGACTTTACACCGAGACCTCCTGTGAATCGTTAATGTTTCTGCATGCTGAATGAAAAAGCCTGTCTTGATTGTAATAAATAGCCCGAGTTTCACACTAGGTCTGCCCATACATTAGGATTTAAAGAATGATAAAAAATAAATCATTTAAGACTATTATATACGTTTGATTGTGATTGCAAGACGTCCAAAACAATCCTCTCCTAATTGGCCCCCTCGCTTGAGCTTCATAAATGAATTTAAAATAGTGTGAAAACATTGACATTATTCTCAAACCATCATCCAATAGTAGACATTTCTGTAGACAAATTATTCAATTCATTCCGATAATTTTTGCAATGAGTTTAATGCAAATGCTCATATTGCTAAAACTATGGAAATGCTATCAAATGCATAATAACCCTATTTAATTTCACTGCTGAAACTATATGTAACTTTTTAAAATTTTGTTTAAATGATAAATTCTCTCTTGAAAGGATCCTTTATTACGGAAATGGCTCAGTTTTAATCCTTTATTAGAGATGTATTACGTGTGTGTGTGTGTGCATGTGTGTGTTTGTGTGTGCGTGGTACCCTGTCAGGTTAGGAATGTCAGGCAGCTGAGAGCTTCCCCCTACACTCTCACACATGCACAGAGAGGTGGGGAGGGGGGTGAGTCCAGGGGGTCTGAGGGAGGCACACTGTGAGTCTGCAGATGAACAAAAGGTCTGCTGGTTTTTAAGCTTTATGAAGCAAAGTGCTCACAGAAGAACACGAGCACTGACAGCTGCTGAACATGGTGGACACTTAATCTTTACGACACTGAATTCAATTCTGACACAAAGAGGAAATAACCACAATATGACAGCTTTGTGTTTATCTTCATACAGATTTCCTTCTACTGTATCCAAACTTCCCCCTAACATAATGACATTTTAATTTGTAAACACTTACAGTCCACTGTGTGTTTCCTCCTGGTCAGAATATTGACAAATATCCCTTCAGAACAATTTAAACCCTTCATTTATTCCATTCAGAGTTAAAAAAAAAAAAAAGGTATTCTGATTTACATAATTTGGCTCCAACTAGCTAGTTTTGATTAGTTTTTTGAGTGCCTACTATTTCCATTAAAGAAGATCTATTAAACTTTCACCATGGATGATGTCAGTCTGGGACAGCTATTGAGTAGCGTTGTGAGATGTGTAGCTCCAAAAACTCCTTATTTATCTGATACTGCCGTCAGTAAAATCCCTCATATCAGCCTCTGCCTGAAACGCTTCATTTCAGGTGCTGTCTCTTTAAGGGCTGCCCGTGTGGGCATGTCCAACAGCTTTGCTCCATGCTTTTCTCTGATACGTCGGAGTCTCGCAAAATTCCATGTCTGGGGACTACGGCAACAACTGCGTATCTTTTGTTAGGATTAGGATGTTTAGGGTTAGGTTAAAAACTTTGCAGAGGATTTGTACTGACATCCAACATGGTAACATATCTAAATGTCGATCAGCAGAATAGATCTCTTTTAATCATTTTATTGTATGATCAATACCTTCATGAATCACAGTCCATGATGGCACTTTCTCGCCTTCCTTCATGTCATGGTGATATCTGAAGACAGATTATAGCCTGACTTCTGCTACACATTCATGCCGTTTGACTTCTGGGTCAAAGCGCGGCACGGAAACTGTGGTGCGTGCTCAGAACGACTAGTCCAGTTTAGGTCTGTTTGAGGAGTATACATGCTGACTTTGATACAATACGAGTTCAGTCTGACTAACATGTTAAAATGCAATAAAAAATCCAGTTGTTGTTGGATTAACACAATAAATCGACTTTTTCTAACTGCATGTAAACGTACTGTGTGAGGGGAAGCTTTGGGTTGCTTGGCAACAGTCAAGTTTCAAACTAGCATCATCAACATGTAACTATCTAAATGCGACAGCATTCTCTTAATCATTTTATTGTATGATCAATACCTTCATGAATCACAGTCCATGATGGCACTTTCTCGCCTTCCTTCATGTCATGGTGATATCTGAAGACAGATTATAGCCTGACTTCTGCTACACATTCATGCCGTTTGACTTCTGGGTCAAAGCGCGGCACGGAAACTGTGGTGCGTGCTCAGAACGACTAGTCCAGTTTAGGTCTGTTTGAGGAGTATACATGCTGACTTTGATACAATACGAGTTCAGTCTGACTAACATGTTAAAATGCAATAAAAAATCCAGTTGTTGTTGGATTAACACAATAAATCGACTTTTTCTAACTGCATGTAAACGTACTGTGTGAGGGGAAGCTTTGGGTTGCTTGGCAACAGTCAAGTTTCAAACTAGCATCATCAACGTCTATGTTGCTTACTTCTACTTGAACAACTTTACTCAACTTCTGTTTGAAAGCAGACAGGCATGTAGAGAAGGTGCAGTCTTAATATGTTACATAACTGAGGGGACATCACAGGCAGGCACAGACAGGCACGCACACACACACACACACACACACACACACACACACACACACACACACACACACACACACACACAATTCAGGTTAACTCTGTGAGACTCAAACATGAACACCTCCCCTCTCTGTTCCGCTGAGGTTGAGAAAAGGAAATAGTGAACAGTTCAACATTTCAACTGATCAGCATGTGAGACTCAAATGTGTGCAGCACTCTCACCATTACTTTGACTGTTTGTGTTTTTAAATGTACCTAAAAAGGGCCTTTGTGGAAAGAAAAGTCGCTCCTCTTTGAAAGCTCACCTTTTCTCTTTTTAAGAGTCCTTCTCTCAGCCGGTCATCCCACAGCCAGTAATGTGATTAGGTGAAGAGGTTGATGCATTTAATGAGTACCACTACAGCTGAGCAGACTAGCTCCTTCTTGTTGTAATGGAGGGAGAACTTCAGAGTCTCCTGAGCTCTATGAGGCTTTACATGAGGCCTGCAGCGTGTACAGACAGGTCAGGGTGAATATAATGGAGTATGAACGGGTTCACCCTGAGTGCAGGAACTCTTAGACTTGCTACTTTCCCCACAAAAGTCTGCTGATATGTTCTGTTCAGAAAAGTGTAACAGGCTACATCTGATACATTTGTGAAGCACTGGCAGCTATTAGCGGTAAGCTGCATGTGTTAGGGCTTTGGAGCTGCATGTGTGAACACAAACAAGACACATTTTTCACTCTGACTTCACCCGGAGTTTCTCCGGCCAGACCCCGAGTACTACTGCAGCAAGTCTGAGTGAGCTGATGTGAGAACGCAGCAGGATATTCTCCGGAGAATTCATCTCGAGCCAATGGGAAGGGGGCAGCATTCTGTTTTCTGTTCGTTAGTATGTTCTTCTCCACTCCGTTGATGTTGTCTTTCCGTTGGACTACACATAGCATTGATATAAAGGCAAATATTCTCATTTTAGCGCCGTGTAGCGGACTCTGTTGCTCTATCCTCCTCCTTTACGTCACATCTTACCTCAGGAGACCCCCCCGCCCCCCTCCTGCCTGGAATGTCTTATGTGAAAAAGCTAAAGGGACCAAACCTTCATATATTTTTTTTAGTGCAAACAAGAGACTTATCCCATATTCTGCTTTTTCTGGTTTTATATGCTCTTTAGTGTGTTTTCCAAGTGTCCTGTGCATGTTTAAGCACATCTATGTGCAAAAATTCAAAGTCCGTGGAAACGCGGCTTCTCCTACGTCCTCCTGTTAGCTGTAGCATTAGCCGCATGTAATGCTTGGTTCTAGCCCCCCTCGAAAAAAAATTGTCAGTCCGACATCATTGCCAGTGTGACGTCTTGTCAGTGTGATATCACTGATCTAAGCCCATTGGCTCGTTGTGGCAAGCCCTGCAGCTCATGTTGCACGCCCGTTAACTTCTGTAGCACGCCCACAATATGCCGTAGCCTGCGGCAGCACAGTAGCGCTAAGGTGCTAATGTTTTTGCTCCCCGGCCCTCAGAGCCAGAGTGGCTGAGCGACTGACCAATTACGGCAGAGCCGACAGGCCGACCAATCAGATCAGACTTGGCACACGTGGGGACTCTGAACGTGGGCACTTCAGAGCCTTAGAGAGAGAGTCAGAAGCGAGCCGGTGCATGGAGCGGCAGTTCATGAAAACAGACACTTTTTTTATAACTTTAGCTATTGTGAACATACTTTAGTAGGTACACAGATTAAATATATGAACCCCAAAAAGGGCATAATATGGGCTCTTTAAGCTGACGGTCACATGGGTTTGAGTCTCATATTCATCCCTGTAGCTCAGACTGATACTCAGCTTAAAGCCAACAGACGGTCATTGTTGTTGTTTCAAAGACATGACGTACCATTACCCGGAGTTTGAGCTTGAATTTGCTGACTCATAAGCCGCCCTAGAACAAACCCACATCCCCCAAATCTCTTGGAAGATTAAAGTCTCACACTCTGTCGCTGTTTGTTGGAGGAAAGTTGAATTTTGCTACAGTGAAATTTTTACAGCCCTCCAGGTTTTTCTTGCCGTAAATTGTCTGATTGTGTTTGCATATTCTTTTAATGTCAGCAGGACTTCAGCCTCCGTCTGCAAAAAGAGGATCCTTCTCGTGTTTACTTTTACTTTGAAGGCGCTCTTTATCAGGAAAGACGCTGCCTGAGGGTGAGCGAGGTGAGAAGACAGAAAAGGCGCGTGGTTGTTTTGACATGAGTATTGCTTTGAAAACCGTCGTAAACTGTGAGGGCTTTCTTTTTTTAAACTGCAGAGATGGTATGTCAACCATCCAAGAGTTATTACTCACACCGAACACAAGCAGACACACGCCTCGACCCGGTTTCTTTCATCACCGGCTCATGAATGTACAGAAGAAGAATTTAGATCCAGCTGTATTGTTTCCAGGGAGAGACGGAGGAGGACGAGGAGGAAAGGGGGGGAAGGGTTGGAGACACAAGAGCTTCTTCTGTGTCCTCTGGGAATGTGACTGAAGGCTGGGGAAGTGTGCATGATGTGTGTGCGTGAGCTGCAAGTGGTGAGGCAGTGCGTGTACAGACAGTAATTAGACCTCGGAGTGCCATAAACACCCAGTGAAAGAGGAACAGCGTTGTACTGCTTCATAATGAAAACGAAGGCTGAAACAACTGCTGTGAGTCATTGATGAATCATTTCAAACATCCCAACGAGTCAGATCAGCTCATCGATTCACCGCTGCTTTCTGGTTGGTCAACTTTCACTCTGTTACCACTTACCACCAGAGAAGTTTTATTCACTGAATAAAATAATTGCTGCCCAGATTTAAATTTATTGACCTACAAAGCTATACTTTGGTAAAAGGTGGGACCTAATTCCAAATTGTGTTTTTTTTTTTTAAATATATAAAAATTGGTGCCGGTGGGGGTTGGAATCGCAGGGTAACTACACAAAAGAATTAAGACGATAAGATAGGATACGTTAAACAACGCCTGGCACAAAATAATGATATAATTAAAGGAAGAATGTGTGACATTTTACACATAAATACACCATAAATCCAGTATATCCTGTGTAAATGTGTCTCTGAGTCATGACTGTCTACAATGAGTGAAAAGCTCGAGTCCCGCTTGCTGTGTTGTTTTTAGAGGTGTGTTTACATGGACAGGACGGCCGGCTCCTCCCCTTGTGTATAAAAGCTGTTTTAGTCAAGGACTAGAGAGAAGAAGAAGAAGAACATACTCACTGATTATTTGACTGTCCCGAAGTGTTTTTAGATCTTCAGATACACAAAAAGTTCATCATGAAAGATTTGACGTTTTTAATCTGGATCCAGGTGTAGAAGCCATAAACACAATGTATGTAGAGCGATGAGACGCTTTATTTTAAACACATCTTTGTGTTTTATTATCAGGTAGAGAGGCGAGGATTCAAGAGGGGCCAACATGCCTCAACAGAAGGACATAGTGAAGATAGCCATCCAGATGCCGGGGGCCTATCCCCAGCTCATACAACTGGACCAGGTAAGACACACACACACACAGCACACACACACACACACACACACACACACACACACACACACACACACAGCACAAGCGCCGTATCAACAGGAAGTGTTAGAAATATATTTTTTAAATCCTCTTCATGACATTAAAAGCTCTCTCTTTTGACCATGCAAAGAGCTGAGGTAGTTAGGGAGTTTTTGCCATACAGCGATCTTCTTATGAACTCTAATCAACTCTAAACATGGATGAGTTGTGTTACTCTTAATGCTGATACTATCTGAAAAAACATCCTCTAAGTTAAATGTCATGTCATTAAAACACCGTCTGCCTCTTCTCAGACTTCACTTTTGCTGACTTCTATCTTTTCTCGCCAGTGACCCACCATGGGAAATTCTTGTCCTTAGCTGAGCCTCTCAGGCAGCACTTCCTCTCAGGCTGCTGTAGTTGCTGCGGTAAACCCAGAGTCCACAGCAGTGACCATAAAGCCGTCCTCAGAGGGAGTTGTGTAGTGTTGGGGGAACGCCCTGAGGCCGGTCAGACAAAAATCTGCTGCAGCAATAAGGGCCACAACACATAGAAACCTTTTATCTTTCCACAACACAAAACATGTCTGCACCTGAGAGACTAAATCCAGGGACAGAAGTCTTCAAAAAAATCAAAGAAATAAATCTTATTTTTTATGCAGAAGCATTAAGAGGCAGCCTGACAGACTGGGGGATAGACTTCAATAAGAAACCAAAGTGCAGAGAAAGGGGGGCCTCTTGGATTTCTTCAGGCCCACTCGCTTTGAGACGATTGGATTATGTAAAATGCCTTTAATAAAGGTTGTGACGATACACTAAGCTCATGAAACCAGACGATATTGGGTTCACAGGAACGGGACGAGACGTTATATTTTGGCTCTTTTTTAAAATTAAAACTTAAATCTCAAAATATATTGGAAAAAAAAGCTGGAAAAGTAGTCTTTCACTCGGATTGAAAGTCACAAAAACTAAAACGATGCAGTTCCATTTAGAAATGTTTTAATGAATAATCATCTTATGATGAATGCTCCTGCTCACTAGGGCTGTAACAGCACACAGAAGTAACGGTTTGGTACGTACCTCGCTTGCTGCCATCTGTGAACACCTTTTTTCAAAAATCTCTCACTCAAATGTATTCGTTGTATGACTGCCTGCATGATGAATAAACATACAGTTACTTCACTAATGCTTACATATTGTTGATATCTTTTCTGACCCTTTGTCGCCGTTTATAACACACAAAATGCTGCCTGCCAAGTATCAGGGTCATCTTCTATGGTCCATTCGTACCCCTAAACCTAACCCACTTCCAGTAAAGCATCAGATTCCATCATAATGGCTGCTGCTCTGCCTTTATGTTCTGATATAGACGCAGAGCAGTTTTCACCAACAAGAAATATTGTCATGATCGTGAGATCTCGTCACAGGGGACTGCGGGGCTGCACATGACCCAGTGGTCGGGGGTTCGGTGCCTTGCTCAAGGCGACCACCAGACCCAATTCCAGACATGGTCTGCCCTGGCGACCCTCTGGTTTCTAACCCAAATGCCTACAGACATCTTAAAAACAAATATGTCCCCCAGCCCTTTTTTGGACACACGTTGGACACAAAATGTTTTTTTATATGGATTCATTTTCTGTCAGGTTTCCCTGAATTTGCAAAAGTAATTAAAATATATAAAACCAGCTAAAATGCAGAAGTTAAGGTTATCACAGTGCAAACTAATAAACTGTGGTTGTGTGTGTGTGTGTGTGTGTGTGTGTGTGTGTGCGTGCATACAGAAGTCGACTGTCGCCACTTCCTCACCAGTGAGGTGTGATAACAGCTGCTGTTGTACAGGATAGTCTCATTAGCTCCACACGCATTGTTAAACCAACAGGTCGTGTTTATGACTTCTTTTTTTTCATGAACACACCCTGCTGCTTTTTCATTCTCACATTTGGAGCCCTAACGTTTTCAATGTTTCATTAAAGTGTTGTCGTAAAATTCATAATGGATTAGTCGGGCGAAATATATAAATGAAGCATCTTTTTATTTTCAATATGTGGACAATAGGTAGGCCCAGCCCCATTAAAGGACATCTATTAAACTCACTTTCACCATTAATGAAGTCGGTCTGGGACACTTGTTGAGTAGCGTTGTGAGATGTGTAGCTGAAAAACCTCCTTATTTATCTGATACTGGCGTCTGTAAAATCCACCATTTCTGCTTCTGCCTGATACTCTTCATTTTTGCTGCTGTTTCTTTAAGGACCCCCACCAAGCAGCAAAAAAATGAAGCCAATGCGGAAGTGCAAAATCCTGCAGTTTGTCAAGTGTCCACTTGAGGCTGGCTCCAGGAACACAGGAAGTCACAAACACACAACAGGCGAAAAAGCCTGTTTTTACAGCATAAATAAACATGTTTACAGCCTGGTACAAAAAACTAAATAGGTCTGATTAGTTATTGGGCACACACTGTACTGGGGGTGATTTTCTTTTTAAACGGCTCCATTTTGATTTTATGAAGGATACGTGTTATCCATAGTTAAGCGCGTAGCTGACATGATTGACAGGTGGGCGAGATGTAACGGTTCGTCAGGAGACTTAAACCCGCCTCAGCTCCAGCTCTCAGCCTGTCGTTATGTTGACTGAACGTTAAAAATTAATTGCTTGGATATTGACTGTTGGTTGTACACTACTTTTCACAATGCATTATGGGATATAATGAGTGCACTACATAAGGTTTGACAATGCTCACTCAGAACTTGGACACCACTAAACTATACAGCGAGTAATGTGTGAGTTTGGACACAGCCACACGTTTCTATGGTTTGACAGGTTATTATGGACCGGCTGAAAAATGAAGAGAAACTGGAATGAAAAAGTTTCACACTCTTCAGAAGCTCTGACACTTAAAGTGAGATTTCCATGGGTTTGTGTTGTAATTACCCTACAATCAAAAAGTCCAATATCTACTCACAGTAATTTTATTTTACATCCCAACCGATCCTGGCCCTGCTGTCTCAACCCTGAAACACCTCTGATTGGTCGACCGTATTGGCTGCCTCTAATCACAGAGCATCCACTGGGTCTACCACAGAACCCAGAGACATTTTGATTGGTTGACCGCGGGGCTGACCACTAATGAGCAGGATGGCTGAGAGTCAGACGTGGAAGCAGTCTGGCTTTTATTTACGTACAAAGAGGGATCCGGGCACTGAGGGTAACATTGTTCAGAAAGCGTTGGGGAGCTCCTCTCCTCGGCAAACGAGGTTTTGGAGGTTTGCAGCCAGACAGAATAGCTGTGGTAGCGTAATCCCATAACAGCCAGTCATTACTGAAGCATGAGTCCAGCTCCCCTGAATGAGAGGAAATACTCTCACTGCAGAGTCTCTGAGTCCTCGTCTTATGGCCCACACATACACAGCAGCAGGTGTGTTATTCATGATGTGTGCAGGTATTTGAAATGTGATGTTCTCTGTGTGTGACTCCCTGGTGTCTCGTTGCAGAAAAAGCCTCTCTCTGCTGTGATAAAGGAGGTGTGCGATGGGTGAGTCCATGATTTGTTTTGCTGCCTTGATGCTGTCTCACAATGATCTTATCTAATTTACTTCTTTTTTTTCCACTATGCATGTCTCTGTTTTTTTTTTAAATGAATTCCTGCTCTTCCTCTCTCTTATTATATTACATTTGTGTATTTAACTATCTGTAAAGCACTTTGAATTGCCTCAGTGTATTTTTTTAATATACTTTATTTATCCCACAAGGGGAAATTACTTTTACACTCTGTTATTTAACATGCTACACACACACACACACACACACACACACACACACACACACACACAGGCTGAAACACACACTGAAAAGGCTGAAATGTCAGATAGCGAGTTGCACATGAAAGAGCGCCCGAGCAGTTGGGGGTTCAGTGCCTTGCTCACTGGTACCTCGGCAGTGCTCAGGAAGTGTACTGTGCACCTATCCAGCTACCAGACCAGTTTCCAGACTTGTTCCATGGTCTGGACTACTGCTGCCCCCAACGAAACCATTTTCAACATAACTAGAAGCCCCAGACACTAAATATTGTCTGATTTCTTGTTTTTAATTACACAGTATTGCAGGCATACATACATACTCTAAATTGCACAAATTGGTACCAAAATGTTGCCAGCAAAACTTGTGTTAAACATTTGACTGTAGAACTGTATTTTTTTAAAAGCTTTGATACTATACTAAGATTTGAGTTTTTGCATTGTCTTGCAGCTTCTATTTGAATAAACTGTATTAATTTGTTTGTGTTTGTGTGTTTCTGTTCAGCTGGAATCTCCCAGGTCCCGACAACTACGCCCTGCAGAATGCAGACGGGGTTCAGACGTACATCACTGAATCGGTGAGTCACATCTCCGCACATATCAATTCAAATATTTATCTGTTCAAGGAATTCAGTCCAGCAAACGTTGGAGCACGTCTTGAAGACATTACATAACAGAGCTGACTCAGCTTCTTCAGGTTTTTCTATAAAGTTTAAGCTCGACATAAATCACAACTCTGCGATCCCTGCTTTTGATTTTGAAAGTAACTTTCCCGAAAAAGAAAGGAAATGACTGTAGATGAAGCCAGCTTCACATGCTGTCATTAACGCTGCTGAAGTGTAGGACTGACTGAAAAAACAAAGGAACGGGAAAAGAGAGAAGCAGCTGGTGCTACATGCAGCCTCTTGGTGTCAAGTGACCTTTTGAAAAGGTTGCCTCTGACAGCCCTCCCCCTTTTTCAGCTGAAGTCAGGGCTGCAGAAGACTTTACATTTCCATTAGACACAGACAGAAGGACTGGAGAGAAATATTCTCTGTTTAGATGAATGAATGGAAGTATTGTTTACAGACTGAAAAACAATCGTCTTTTACTTTTACGACTCTTACAGTTGGTACGAAGATGATTACAGATGTTGAGTTTATAGTGAAGCAGATGTTCCGGCTTAAGAAGAGCAGCTTCATGACGAGTCTGAGAAACACTCGACTTCATGTCAGGCCGTGTTATACTTGATAATTTCCTGCTCTCAGCAGCGGTCTGATTCCAGAAAGTCCGTGCGAAGAGATTTTATTCAGTTTACAGGAATTTATCCAGCGATCCAAATTCTAATCTCCCAAAACTGATTCAGGATATCTGCAGAGACAAACTGGGTTATATGATACAAGCATAGCTATATACCCAAGTAAAAGCTCTAATCAGTAAGATATCTCTGAAATGATAAAGGTATCTTACTATATGATCAGACATTAAGGAAACATGCTATGTTGAAGTGCTGGCTTCTCTGACAACAATGCAGCAGTCAGTATGTCCTCCTTCTAACTTTAGATTCTGCTCCTGAATGATCTGGATTTGTTTGGACCAGAGAAGGTAGGCGGTTTTAAGACACCCCCCAACACACAGCCGTTTTAGACGCCCCTCAGTTTGTCAGATATGAGAGCAGTTATCAGGTCAACAGGTGTTGCAGTGATGGAAGCGGGCAAGAGAAGTGGTTCAGATAGAAGTGATTGTACCCGACCTAAAAAGCCTCTGCATGTTTCTAATAAGCTCCACGAGCAGAAACGTGCTCAAACTAGGATCAATATTGGAGATGCTTTTGAAAAATGGAGAGAGGTTAGAACACAGAAAGGTTTACAGACCGATGCAGAGCTGGATAAACACTGAAGCTTCAGTGTCCACCACATGGCAACCTGTGTGACCATCAACTCTAGAGAGGAGGGGGGGGGGGGGGGGGACAGATTTGCGAATTGTGGACACGATCTCCTTAACTGTGTACATGGATTTGTGAACTGTGTGATATAAATCTGCTCGCACAGTTTATGAAATTTTACGCACATCTTGCAAAACTTTGTGATCATTATATGAAAACACACCCACTGATTGCAAACCTGCTCGCATGGATTTGACAATTTTGGTTACAGATTATCAAACTGGCTTTTACATATTGCGTGCAGGATGTATATAGATTTACAGTTTGTGTGTCCGTGCATGTGGTTAACTTGTGACATATTACTTTCTCTCTGTTGTGGTCTGACAATGTATATGTCATTTTAAATATTTTGTTTTCTAACATGTATGTGTGTGTGTATGTGTGTGTGTATGTGTGTGTGTTTGTATGTGTGTTTGTTTGCCCGTTTTTAGAATCGTCTGGACATTAAGAACGGCTGCATTCTGCGTCTGACCAAGGCACCGGTGAGTCTGCAGCCACCACACTCGACCGCCACCACGGCCCTACACTTCATTCTCCCCACATTCCTGCAGCTTTCTGGATGCTTCAACCTTTCATTGATTTCTCTTTACATGACTCAGAGAGTCAACTGAATGCAAAGACAAAAAAATCACACACACTCATTTTTCAAGGGATACATTGAAAAAACAAAACAAATAATTGTGTATGAAAACTAGAAAAAAGTGAATTTGTCTTAAGTGTTTTGTTTGTGACCATGTGTGTTTCTTTGTGTGTTTTGTGGATGCTCATAAACGCAGGGTCGCTGTGCAGAAGACCTGTTCAAAGGCATCCAGAGCTCCGATTCAGGCGTGCGCTGTGATTCGCTGAAGGAGCTGGCGAGCACATCTACAGACGTTACATTTGCACAGGAGTTCATCAGCCGAGACGGACACCTCTTATTGGTCAAGATAGTCGAGGACTCGAATGAGTTAGTACTCTGTGTGTGTGTGTTTGTGTGTGTTCATGTTTCTGGGGTTGAACACTCCTCCTCAGATTGATATCAGTGGTCGTTACATCCTGTTGTGCTATATGTGTAGACGAAAGAAGTGTTGCTAAATATTTAAGGCTGCACATACTTAACCACATACTTCAGATAAATGCAAGTTGACTCATTTCATTATGTTTCTATGATCAGAGGTCACAAACATACAAACATACATATAAATAAATAAAAGCTAAACACTATTCATTGAATTACTGAAAAGGTTCTACACATGAAGTCTACCTGAACAGCATTTTTGTGAGGGTTGTCATGGTACCAGAACATACTAATAGCAATCATCATTAACTGTTTTGATACCAGAGCGAAACGAGTAGAAGTCCTCATCAGCCATCTTTTTTAGGTTCCAAGAATCGCATGCTAACACGCTGTCCAACGTTTCTGTACCAAAAGTTGTGTGAAATGTAGACGGTGTGATCTGAACCAACATTGTTCTGCGTTCAGTGAAAGCAGTACGTCTGACAAAGACCTATTAGCAAGCGACATCAATCAGAATCAGAATCAGAAACTGTGTTTATTGCCAAGTACATTTACACATATAGGAATTTGATTTGGTGTTTTTGTGCAAAACAGTTCACAAGGAAATATAAAAACAGTAGAGCTCCTGCTGACAGCTTAAATAGAGTAAGTTACAAATATAAAGGCTATTAGAAAATATATGATAGAATATAAAAACACAAAATGTGCCATGGAGGAGCTGTGCAGGCATAGTCAAAATTACGTGCAGTGTAAATAGAAAATATGAATTCCAGTGTGCGTTAATGTAACACATTAGATTCAGATTCAGTTTCAGCCTTCACATTACTGTAATGTTCTCTGACTGTGGGGCTGATAAGAGTCTGGGTTAGGTCAGGGGAGGGCAGGGATGTTATTCATGAGGCGGGCCCTTGAACACGACTTTTGCCTCTTTATAAGAAATGTCAGTATTTGAGGTTTTGTCAACCTGTTAATTTGAATGGCCCATCGCTGATTTCTCTCAGAACTTTTTGATTCTATGGATCGTTTAATAATCTGCGATGTTATCATTTTTATAACACATGGTATTGAGGTTTGAAATATGTTGACAACCTCAGTGAACAAAATGTGTCTTCTGTGTGTCATTCAGGAGTAATGTGATCATGACCCACACTCTGACAGGCTTCATGGAACTGATGGATCATGGGATAGTTTCCTGGGAGAACCTCTCATCGGTCTTCATCAAGAAGGTGCTGAACCTGACGCCTCGTCTCGTACTCTCCCACAGTTTTTTTCTCCTTTCTTTTCATCCTTACTTTTCTCTCGTCCTTCAGATTGCCAGCTTCGTCAACGCCAAGCCTACCGATGCATCCATACAGCAGGTGTCCTTGGACATCCTGGAGAGCATGGTGCTGAGCAGTCACAGCCTCTTCCTGCAGGTCAAACAAGAAGTGACCATGGAGAGACTCATCGCTCACCTACAGGTGTAAGTCACAGATTTTGGCTAACTACCATAACATCCATAAAGATCCAGGGAGTGATTCAAAATGACAAAATCTCGTCTCTTTGGAGAGTCAGGAGCAAATGAGGTCAGCTGACTTGAGTTGGCAAAAGTGAACGTAAGAAAAATAAATGACTTTAACAAATCTACCAGAAGTTAAATCTTACAATAATCTATTTTTCAAGTTTAACATCCACATTGAAAATTAATAAATAAATTGGAAGCAACGGTAGCCTATTTGTTTGTACACTGCTCCATGCAAAGAGTCCCTCTCTCTCTGCCCGATGTCTAACTCTATTCACTGTCCTGTCTCTAAAATAAAGGCATAAATAAAAACAAACATTAAACAAATTTAATGGCAATAGTCAGCTCTGGATTTATCATCACTTGTTGATAAATCAGGAAGTATTTAAGTGTCTCAAACACTCATGCTGATAGTATCACTGCAGTTTATCACTGCAAGGTTTTACACTTTAATCATGAAATGTGTCGATGTGAGACGTGAACCTTTAAAGAGCATAAACATCGTTTTGATCTCAGCCTCCCCACACACACACACCCACACACAAAAATGCACATTTCATGCATCTGTGGAGCATCTTAGCTGTGTTCACTTTCTCCTCTCTGATCTCTTTCAGGACAAACCAGCAGATTCAGACCAAAGCCATGGCGCTACTAATGGCTCTACTACAAACTGCCGGAGACTCCGACCGACAGGTGCTGCTGTTATAAACTTCCTCTTCTCATTAACCCCACTCATACCTGCACCGTGCTACTGGAAATGTCCTGATATTGTCAGAGAGGGCAAACAGTTAAATCAGTTCACCTCCTCTTCCTGCCAGCCCCACAATGCTCGGTGAGCGTGTGGGCGAGGTGGTGATGACGTTGTGTACACTGTGTGGAGTTTCTCAGTCTTAAACACTTTACTTCTCGCCTCTGATGCCAGTTTTATGTTTTTTACTCTTCTGAAATATCCTTTTATATGGTGTAGTGTATTCAACACAGTAATAGGCTTTCACACTTGCAGAAATCTCCTGAAAACCTCCTGATATTTCCCGGAGGAGCTGTATGTTTGAACGCAAACAGACGATTTGTCGTTGTTTTTTGACGTCACATCTTACTTCAGGAGACCCCCCCGACCACCTCAGGGATAGTCTCCCACAGTGAGGAGCATGTGTGAACAGCCAGATCAGGAGAATCTCCAGAGCAGTCCTCCTGAAAGTATCTAGATATTTTCCGAACTGCACATGTGAAAACGGCATGAGAAACTTAAAGAGAACTTACGAGAAACTTAAACTGAAGGCTTCTTCTCCTCCTCCACCTGCACATTCCCAGGGAACATTTAGAATCTCATGAGTATGTCTGACACAGAAAGTATCTAACTGTTGGGGTGTTTAAAGGGCAATTACTGGGAAATTCAGGCCCTGAATGTCCTAAAGCTGTCTACAAAATGTGTGAAGGGGCTATAGACTTTCAAACGTTCAGACCAGCAGGTATTTAGTTGGTTTCAGGGCCTTCCTGTGTGTCTGTTGCTTCCAGACAATGTGGTCTGCAGTCCTGAATGAGTATGCACTCTGCATGCTTTAACTTCACTGATGTTTTTTTATTTATTAGTATTTTATTTTCAGACTGAACCCTTAATCACGTGTGAACACAAAGAGCCAAATTTTGCACTCCAACCTTACCCAGAGTTCTTCCTGCCTGCCCCCCTGTAGTGCATATATGTGAAAACAGCTTGAGGGATGCAGCATGTGATTTTGTGTTAAGGGAGGTTTCTGCACCAGCAGTCCATCATTGACCATGTGAGTCAGGATCCTGCAGGCGCTGCGTCTGAAGACATCTGGGAACAGCCCAATCTTCTAATCCTGCCTGCTCATTTTCAGACAGTCGAGTCTTTCTCTCCCTCTGTTCTGTTCCTGCTCCTCTCTCCCCCATTGTACAGGAACAGATCCTTTATTCAGCGCCCAGTCTCCTTTCTGTCAGACTCTCGTTGTTACTCACACACACTTCCTCGTTTTAACAGTAGGTCAACACATCCACCCTTCTTATCAGCAGAATAGTCTTCAACAAAACGGTTGGGGATGCATGTACCAGCAAGGGACGATTTCATCACAGAGGTCAAAGTCCAACATGCCAACCCTCGTCCCGCCCACTAATCAGTGACTGACACTTTGATGCCACCTCATGTTAGAAACATGTCATTACACCCAACTTACACCTTTAACATTTGCTCACTCGGTTCTCATGTTTGTTGTCTTCTCTTTTCCAGGATATGTTTGCATTCCTGAGCAAGAAGAACCTCCGGCAGTACATTTATAAAGTAAATGATTTTCTTATTTGCATTAATAATCTGCACAGTTTGCAGAGTGATTATGTAATGAAGTGACCAATGCAATAGTGCATTAGCGTTAACAAAATGGCTTTTTTCTCTGCAGAACATCATCCACAGTTCTGGTGCAGTCCAGGATGAGATGGCCCACTACCTCTATGTGCTGCAGTCTGTTACCTTGAATCACCTGGAGCCTCGCATGAGGACGCCGCTGGACTGTTACAGCCAGGTGAGGATAAACACGCTACTGATGAACATTTTTCATGACTTTCTGTGAACTCCACAAACAAAGATGTCAACATTTCCTCTCGTCTGTCTCTTCTCTGTGTCACTCCAGGAGCAGAGAGACATCCTTCACGGCCTGCGTCAGGCGGCGTTTGAGACAGAAAGCGAGAACAGTCTGAGCCACGAGAGACGACGCTCGCTCTGCGCCAAAGAGTTCAAGAAGTTAGGCTTTTCTGTAAGTCTTTATTGTCCCCTAATCATTCATTTGAAACGTTTTACACCATCAAAGGTCTGAGTAATTGTGCTGTTCATATTTTCAGACTGTGATTAATATTCCCTTTTATGTCTTCAGAACAATAGTAACCCCGGTCAGGACTTGGTGCGAACGCCTCCAGGTCTTCTCGCTTTGGACACCATGTTTTATTTTGCTGCACGCTATCCGGACGCCTACAGCAGGGTGAATATGATTTATGTTAATTAAATACACATTCATATTTATTTCTCAAATGATTTCTGACTGTGCTATGTCACAGTTAGCATCATGTCAATGTCCTTGGGCAGAAGGACTTCAAAGTCCTTTTTTTAATATTTGTATTTATTTTGAATACCTGATGACAGGTGATCATGTAACTGATTCATGTTTTGTCTGTTTGAGCACATGTTAAGTACTTGTTGAGAAGTAGTAAACCTTGTTTTGAGGGTTTAATTAAGAACCAGCTTTAATGTAATTCTTGTCTTCATGTGTCTCTCTCTCAGTTTGTCCTGGAGAACAGCAGTAGAGAGGACAAACATGAGTGTCCTTTTGCACGGAGCAGCATACAGCTCACACTCATCCTGTGTGAAATCCTTCGTATCGGCGAGCCTCGTAAGTTCACCTCCGACCTGTTAATGCCTTAAGCGTTTCTCCCGCTCAATACTGGTGTCAAACTTAAAGGAGGAGTCCGCAGTTTGTAAACACAAAGTTCAAACTTGCCCCCCTTCCTCCTGTGCTCATCGCCCCCAGAAGCCACACTCACTGCAGGACGCAGGTGTACATTTACTTCAAGTACCTACTGCACGGCAGCACATGCTAACCTCCGGTGTTTGGCACCTGCCTGTCCGACAGAGAGCAGACCAACTTAGCATCTGCCAGTCACCCAAGTCACGTGACTTCCACGTCCGTCATATTTGCCGGTTTGAATTGCATCCAATCGCTGAATTGTACCTACTCCTAAACTCACCTGCTGCGCTGTCATTGGCCGGAGGAGACACACCAGCTCTGCCCAGAAACGTCCTGACTCAACCAAAACAAACCAGAACAGTACAATCCAGTCAGAGGACAGGGTCTCTGCAGACACAGTCACCACCACACATGTATGGAGGCCCATTAGTGATGATTGAGCAGAATTACTTTTGTATAAGTCTGTGTTTTAGTTTATTAGGAAAAAGCTACTGAATCTATCTTTAATACATCATTGTGTATCTCAGCCTCAGAGACGGGATCCCACTACCACCCCATCTTCTTCAGTCAGGACCGGCTGATGGAGGAGCTTTTCTGTGTTTGCATTCAGCTGCTCAACAAGACCTGGAAGGAGATGAGAGCCACACAGGAGGACTTCGACAAGGTATGCTAAGCTTAGCATGCTGTAAAAGTCTGCCTTCAAAGGCCGAGCAGGACTGAAGGAGCCATGCAGGAGGATTATGATTGAACAATCGTACCTAAAACTCATTCCTCTTTTTTTTTCACCATTAAAAGAGTCAGCAGCTTGTTGGGTGTTTTAACATAAAAACATTTTGAACTCAGCGAGAAACTAAATAAGCATTTTCTCCAAAACAACACAACAAGTGGAACTGCTGTCAGTGGGATTACCAGCTACAGGGCACCGCTGGTTTGTGGTTGATGCGTGAGCCCCGTATGCAGAGGCTGTGGTCCTCCTCGTGGGCGGCTTGGTTTGGCATGTGTGAACACAATCAGCTGAATTTTTCACTCTGGCTTCACCCGGAGTTTCTCCTGCCAGCCCCCTAGTATTTGTTCTGCAGAAAGTCAGAGTGAGCTGATGTGAGAACACAGCAGGATATAATCAGGAGAATTCACCGGGAGCGAGTGGGAGGGGGTGGTGACGTTTATTCCCTGTGATCGCTGCACGACCATAGACCGTCTGCTTGTATACGATCTCTGTGCATGTGGTATGTTCTTCTCCACTCTTTTGTTGATACTGTGATTCTGTTGAACTACATGTAGCCGCTCGTCACTATATTGCAGCTTGTAGAGATAGCCACAAAGATCCGATTCGAGCACAAGACCTTCAAAATCCCCTTCATCCATATCAGTTTGAAGTTGAAACATACTTTCCACCATTGACGGTTCTTCTCAACTTTCTCCATAGAGCCTGTTAGCATAGCTTCCAAGCAATATGGCGGACGTTAAGTTTCGTTTCTGGGAGTGAGTTCCCACCCACTGATCTGTGATTGGTCTGTAGCTTCAGTGGTCGAAAACATGAGGAACTAGCGTTGTAGTTTCACCCTCGCTGACTACAACAGCTGCCGATGATGCAAAATGATGATTTTTGCATCATGGGAGGCTCCTTTTGCAGACAAGAAATACAGAGATTCCCGTCTCAGGGGAAAATGAGGGCGGGATGCGGGATTCAGAAGTACTACCCGGTTTCTAATGATATAAAGCTTAATGCAAATGGGTGAAGTATCCCAGAGATGAATCAAACCCACCTTGAGTTTTTTATTGAATATGAAGTCTTCACACAAGTTAAAAAATAACTACGGATAAGCTCCACACACAGGGTGTAGTTTCAAGAAAAAGGTTTTACGGTGTATCTGTGTTAGTTTGTACTTTTGTCACTTTGTATAGATTCATTCATATGCTAACTGTCCTCGTCCGGCCCCCACAGAAAGACCTGCCCCTGCTTTAAGAATCATACAGCGACCTTACAAGTACTTGTGCGATGGTAATGGGACGAGCCGAACCTTTAACAGCTGAGTTTTGTCTAAGAGAAATATTGAGAATCAAGCCTCCCTGAAAAGTAAAAGCTTTTGTCCTGATTCACATTTCAACCGCTCATCTTCAACAGAGTGCTCTCCTGACGCTCATAAAACTCACTGACCCTTTGACCTCTCAGGACATGGCCAGTGTTTTGAGCACCAGGCCAGCAGACCGGCCTTTTGTGTTCATCCCCGGCCCCCTACCCAGGGTGCTTTTGGGCAGGGACAAAGGGGCATTAGGTGGACAAAGAGAAGCGTGGTCGGCGGCAGAAACAGAGGGAGAAGGAAATGAGGAAAAAACAAAGCGCTCAGGGCACGAGCAGTAATTACACAACAACAGAGAGGGAACGTAAAACCTCTGGAAACAAAGAGAGAGGGGGAGAATGAGAGGGCAGGGTCCTGAGAAAAATAAAGCTGATGAACATTTAGGCAAAATAAATTGGAAGTATTAGTGTGAGAGGTTCTCAGAATTTCCAATACTTCCATACTTACTGAAATAATGATCGATCGCATCAAAGAGTACAAAAGCTTTTTAAAAAGTACCGATCTTCAGTCGTGTTTTTAACCCAAAGCTCTCGCAATAAAGACAGAGAGCAGCGGTGCACACGCACAAAATTCACAGATTGATTCAAATAGAATAGGAGTGATAAGAATATGGAAGAAGATAGAATATTTGAAATTGGGTCCATTCCCTTTTTTGGGGTTTTTGTTCGATTTAGACTCTGTGCAGGAGTTTGCCTGCTATTTGTGGTAATTAAAATCAAGAAAGGAAACATAATGAGGTGCCCAGGACTTGTGTTTGCAAATGTTTGAAAACATGTATCAATATTGTCTGGTTTTTACTAGTATCACATTAAACTCTCAAATTCCCTCCATCCTATTACATCAATATATTCTTCCAGCGCTGCAACCCCCTGTGGTAACACACACACACACACACACACACTCTCTCTCTCTCTCTGTCACACACATACACATAAAGCATTCGTGCACATGCTGCAGGGTTTTTCGGGAACAGAGGCAGCTGCCACTCATCGCTCCTATTGGCCAGTTCGGCTAAATAACAGAGGGGCTGGACAGAGGGGGGGGGGGGGGGGTGTGCATGTGTGTGAGAGTATCAGGGTGTCTGTTTACAAAACAGCCACATGCCTGCACCACTCCTGTCATGTAGGTGTTCTCTGTCTGTTCTCTGCCGCTCCCTCACTTTCACCGCCTGTCATCTCTGTCACTTCTCTCGTATCGTTGAATTTGAAGTTAGGATCGAGAAATAAAGTCAATAATAGTCATCTCTGGAGAAAAAAAGATGGAGGTAAGGCTGCTATTTTTGAAGTTGTTCTGGGTTGGATTCACCTTTCTGTTGTTTATTAGTTATTATGTTGTCTGGGGAGGAACTCAGTACAAGCTTTCCAGGCCATAGATTAGATTTTTTTAAATATTCAGAGGCAGAATTGGTTGAAAGTTGACACTTAACAACAGAAATGATTTACGACATGAGAGTAAAGATGACATAGCAGTGTGAAGAGGCCGTCTGAGGCTTCACTGCATAATAAGGTCGTCAACATTTTAAGACACTTCCAGACCTTTGGATACAACGTGTTTTAAAAACAACACAATCTCTGCTATTATAATGCATGGTATCAAAAAAGTGCTGAAGCTTGAAAACGAGACACATCTTCTGTCATGATTTTAACCACAGCTGAGGTAAGAGAGCTGAACAGGTCGGAAAATACTGACGTTTTTCAAGTCCTTTTTGAGCCTCACTAGATGCTAAAGTTACATATCTATGTCTCACAAACAGAGTGAGAGCAGAGGAGGTGACACTGTCTGAATTGCATGAATACATTGGCAACATGTTTGTGCAAATGAGTGAAATGTGTGAGATAGTTTGCCTACAATTTTTGGTTATTTGATACAAGAAATGACCCAATATTTGGGTTTTTTGTTGCCATGGTATCAAAGTATGTATTGTTGGATTTTTGCTAGTATCATATCAAAGTTTCCCATTCTGGGATCTCGGCAACCCTTCTGCACAGGGAGGTCATTTTGAAACTCTAGCTGTTTGTTTTGTGTCTCTGCAGTTTCACACAAACTAGCATGACAGTGTGCACCTTCAGCACTGCCAGATGGAGAAACCGTCGACCTGTCAATGATGAGTGTGAAAAAACACTGACATGAGATTATTGCTTTTGAGTAATCACATTTGATTTACTTCTCAGCAGATTTTGCTGCAGCAAACGGTTATTTGTCTCAACGTTCTTGATTGTGCTGAGAGAAGAGAAGCCTTGATGAAGCTGGACTGAATGACTCAAATGAGACTTTAGTCATTGATTGTTCACTATCAGTCGATTATGGTGCGAACAGGAATGATGTAGGTCAGCAGAGAGTGTCGGGGAGAGCGACAGCCGGACAAATAGTGCCAGAGTTGGCTCATTCCCGTAGCTTTATAGATTTTCACATGGATTTTCTGCAGTTTACGACTGATGCACGTACACTGAAGCGAGCTATAGATTTGACACACATGCAGGGGTTTTGTTTGACTCGCTGCTCCGAGCTCTTCTTTCAGGATAGCAGAGGTGACCTCAGGTGACCCCGTCCCTCTGTGTGAGCTTCAGTCTAACAAGTCACACAGAACACACACACTATCACACAAGTATTGCAAATGCCAAAAATCTGTTAAAGTTATGTGATCTCGATGAAATAGCCACACAGTTTGTCCGTCATTGATTGTGTTCAGTCTGGTTGGTGCGAGGTTGTTGCACAAAAAAGGGTTTATAATGATCATACTGATCAATGACTTGCTAATGTGTGTGTCAGAAAAGGAGGGGACGTTGGGATGGGTTTTTGTGATTTGACATTGTGGGATGAGGAGAGCTCTTAAACTTCAAACTGATTATAGAAAAAGGCAGGAGATGTCCTGAATGGATCAGAAGAAAGGGGCGGAGCTAAGACAGAGAAATTAATGACATACTCCTAACTGCTGAATCTTTAGACCATGTTCTCGTCTGTAAACATTCTTATTTTGATTTCTTTTTGGGCTTTTTATGCCTTTATTCAGAGATAGGATAGAGGCAGAAATCAGGGAGAGAGAAAGTGGGGAATGTTATGCTGAAAAGGAGCCTCAGGTCGGATTCGAACCCGGGCCCCCCACATGGAGGATCAGCCTCTGTACATGGGGCGTGCACACGAACTACTAGGCTACTAGCGCCCCTCTTATTTGGATTTTATTGGCTAGAGGCTTTATTTGTCAAACAATGGTACCAGGTGGTCCCTGTATTTCTCTCATACTAGCTGCTGGATTCTGAATTCTAGCTATAAGTTCTTTATAATGAGAAAAATTCAAACTGTGCAGACTTTAGGATGCATGTTGCATGGTTCTAAATAAATATTTATTTATATTAAATATGAATATAGATTCTCTGTCAGCCTTGAGAACAGTGGAGTTCAATGTTGGACTTTCATTCTTATCAAACAATCTCTATCGCTGCATGGAGAATGATGGAGAATGTGACCTTAAGTTCAAAGCCAAAGTACTTTGCAAGCGGCCACCTCTGGTTTAGATAAATGCAGCCAAGGCAGAACTGCAAAAAACTGCAGTTCCCCGAGTGTCCACTTGAGGCTGGCTGCAAAAAGCCCTGGAAGTCCCATCAACATCCATATTAAGACTCCCCATTTTTAAAGCAGAACTACAACCTGGTAAAAAAATAGTTTCATTTTCTATAGCTCATTTCTTTGTTTGCAAAAACTGTACGAGGAGGGGATTTGTTTTTTAACTCCTGTTATGTTTTGGGCTAAGAGGTACTAATAAATTTACATTTACAATTGACTGAGTTGACTGACGCGTTGTAGCTGTTTGTCAGGAGACTTAAGGCTGACCTCATCTTCATCTGTTTGCATGTTTCTACATAAATGGAAAGTTAGGTGGAGATAGCATTTCCAACATGGCGACTGCCTCACTGAGACACTACATCCATGTTTTATACAGTCTATGGTGTTTTGTTGCACAAACTTGTTTCAATTTTTTTTCTTGTCGAAGTTGTGTAGTTAAGAAAACTGGTGTGCACATACAAGCTAAAGGCATACAGGTGCTTGGCGAAAAATGCTTTTCTAGTTGCCATCTGATGATGTGTCCATGTTATGAGTAGAAGTCCTCCTGACACTGTTAAGAATTGTTTCCTTTAAAACCCTTCAATCCAAATCTTTGAAACATAAAGATGTTTTAGCATTTATGGACCTCCACAGAATAAACAAAAGTAAAAATAAACATCAGTCCCACTCTCTGCATTCACTTAACCAGCCTGTTTATGAAACTGTCCCTCTCTCTGTCTCGACATCCCCCTCCACAGGTGATGCAGGTAGTGAGGGAGCAGATCACAAGGACGTTGTCTAGTAAGCCGACCTCCCTGGAGCTCTTCAAGAACAAAGTGAACGCTCTGAACTACAGCGAGATCCTCAAACTGAGGCAGACGGAACGGCTGCACCAAGAAGAGACTCTGGCTCCTCCTGTACTGTGAGTTATTAGGATGTTTACAGATTACACACCTGTCCTGGATGAAAAATGAACGTGTGCACCTTGTCCACTGACTTTGATGAGTCTCATACTGAGTTTCATAGAACCATGACCAAGAAAATGTCGACACAAAGGGCCCTCTCTTACACCCAGCTCATTGTCTCAGCACTCATTGCAGGTGTCTTTTCCTATTCCACATTAGTTTCACGCCCACCACCCAGGTTTTGTAAATAGCTTGTAAACTTGCGCCAACGTTAGTGCCGATTGGAGTGTCGGTCTTCCAATGAGGTGTGGTCAGGGGCTGAGGTGTTCCTATCTTCAGGATGCAAAAACTTGCTTCCCTTTAGACCACCTGAAACATGGTCCAAAGTCTGAAATCTGCCTAACCCTAACCCTAAAAGTAATCAGCCTTTGTGTATTTCAGTTCAAATCGGCATATGATGCATTATGGATGTTTTCATGGATTGGAAACAGGTTGACATTCTTTGCATTAGGTTGTTTTCTAAAATGTTAAAACCAACTTTGTTTCATAACAAACCCGATCAGCTGCTGTATTGACGACAACAGATATTTTCCACCCCTATGAAACATGATGACAGGTCACCCTATGACTGTCTGTTGTTTCTTATGCTCCTGTTTGTCACTTAAACACTGAGAGTAACAGTGTGCTGCTCTTCTTTGTCATTGCCGGTTATATTTATCCTGGAAATATTCATTTTAAATGTTCTGTCTTAGCAATGTTAAAGGATAACTGATGATCATCCAAGCAATGACACTCATTTAGCCCCCTTCTCTCTAGAGTCGATGCTCACACAGGTCACCATGTGGTGGACCCTGAAGCTTCAGTGTTTATCCAGCTCTGCATCGGTCTGTAAACCTTACTGTGTTCTAACCTCTCTCCATTTTTCAAAAACATCTCCAATATTGATCCTAGTTTGAGCACGTTTCTGCTCGTGGAGCTTATTAGAAACATGCAGAGGCTTTTTAGGTCGGGTACAATCACTTCTATCTGAACCACTTCTCTTGCCCGCTTCCATCACTACAACACCTGTACCTGATAACTGCTCTCATATCTGGCAAACCGAGGGGCGTCCAAAACGGCCGAGTGGGGGTGCCTTAAAACGAATACCTTCTCTGGTCCAAACAAATCCAGAGCATTCAGGAGCAGAATCTAAAGTTAGAAGGAGGACATACTGACTGCTGCATTGTTGTCAGAGAAGCCAGCACTTCAACATAGCATGTTTCCTTAATGTCTGATCATATAGTAAGATCACTTTATGATTTACTCAGTTGATATGAGGTATTTTTTAATGCTTTGGTACTTTTTGATTCTATAGATCATTGAAAAAAATGGAGATTGTTTTAAACACAACAAAGACAAACACAAGTCAACATTTCCAAGGTCTGTTATAGTATCAAAAGCATCTTGTAAGTGACAGTGAGCCTGATACAATGTATGAGCGAGGCAGTAAATAACAGCATCACCTGCATATAAGTGCACATTTACATTGGGAACATGGGGAAATGAATGTGTGTCTAATGTAATGTAAAAACGCATTTTCTCTTCTAGTGAACTAAAAGAGCGTCTGAAGCCAGAGCTGCTCGAGTTAATCCGCCAGCAGAGACTCAACAGGCTGTGTCAGGGAACCATGTTCAGGAAGATCAGCAGCCGACGCAGACAGGGTAAGAAAACACACTCGTACTAAAGAAATCCACACTGTCGTACCCATCGATCAGTAACATGACAGCTCTCCAAAAAGTGAAGCAAAAACATCCAGAGCTCCCCTCTACAGACTGGCTGCAGGTTACAAGCTCCGCCCCCTCCATGTTAACAGATGGGACATGGGTCAAACTATAAAATTTAAACACATGTCAAATACAATTGACCTCAAACATGTTTTCCTTTTTAAAGTTAGTACTTATCTGGCTGATTCATACCTACGTTTTCATTCTATCAGAAGTTTGTTTTGGCTAGTTATTTGATGCTATAAAAAATAATATTACGCTATGATTGAGAGCTCTGAGGCTCCTGCGCTCCATGTGCAGCAGAGTAGAGGAGAAACAGCGAGAAGAAACATTTAATTAACAGAAGAGTAATTGACCTTTTCATTAGTAGGGGTGGATATTTTTGCTTCACTTTGGTACAACATACACTGGGAAGAGGGGGAGACGCACATATATGGTCAGTAGTTTAACCTTTGTGATCGTCTGCTGTTTCCTAGATAAACTATGGTACTGCCGCTTGTCGCCGAATCACAAAATGCTTCACTACGGTGACGTGGAAGAAGACACAGAGAATCCACCAATTGAATCACTGCAGGAAAAGAGTGAGTAATCGCTGGGAGTGTGTTTTGGAAATTAAAAAAAAAGAAATTAAAAAAAAAAAGGAAACTTCTTCTGCAGTTGGACATTTATTTAGGAGAGTTAGATCTTTTCTGTTCATCATCCCTCAGTTCCTGTAGCAGACATCAAAGGCCTGCTGACGGGAAAAGACTGTCCTCACATGAAGGAGCACAAAGGCAAACAGAACAAGGTGAGCAGCGCCTCTTGTCATTTCAGAGTCTGCTCGCGCTAACAAAACGGACGTTTCATCTAACTGTACTGTATGTGCTGCAGGAGGTGCTCGACCAGGCATTTAGCATCTCATATGACGTGGAAGAGTACAGCCTGAACTTCATCGCCCCATCCCGAACTGATGTGAGTAAATAACGTTATCAGAAACATTTTCTTCATGTAAATTCTTTCCTGTGTTTACTAAACAGTGTTTTTACCGGCTTCCTTCTCTGTCAGTTCTGCCTGTGGACCGATGGACTGAGCGTCCTCCTCGGCAGGGAGATGAGCAGTGAGTCCATGCGCAGCGAGCTGGAGATCCTCCTCTCCATGGAGATTAAGCTCCGCCTTCTGGACCTGGAGAACGTTCCCATTCCTGACAGCGCTCCGGTCATCCCGAAACCGCCAAGCAACTACAACTTCTGCTACGACTTCAGCCAGACCGAGCAGTAGAGAGTGGAAAAAGTGTGAATGTGTAAATATATATGTGTGTGTGTGTGTGTGTGACCATGTGCGTTCATGCACTTATTCCTAAAACACAGATTTATAACTATGACATTTTATTCTTCTTCCTCTGCGGCCTCATTTTTAATCATCCAAGTGAAACCGTGTGAAGACGAGCAAACTCGAGGAGAGTGACTTTAAACAACGACAACAGTTGTTTGTACTTTGACTTCACTAATGCTGCACACTTTTCACCTCTTGTCTCGGAGACGGAAGCTTTCAGGTCGTCTCTACGTTCACGCCTCCTCCTCAGCTTTTCTAGACACTTCAACAAAGCTCCAAAAAGCTAGACTCACCTTTTACAATTCAACCACTCACTCAAGTAATGGTACTTTAGTTTTGTTTTATAATCATTTTAAAGTCCTATATATATCTTAAACTATGCATTTTACATTTTGAGTATACTTGTTTGCATATTCGTTTATTTTATTTTCAGATGCTTTTTTTAAAAGGGCATTAACTAGAACCCATTGTGTTCTCGATACGTGGCACATACAATACATTTCTAACATTGGAAAAGCAAACACATGTTTCTCAGATGTGGAAAATATTTAGCTTAAAGCTCCTGTGAGGAGTTTTCACCTGGTGATGAAACAGACTGTTATTAACACTGATGCCTCTACATGACCTTTAAAAGCTAACGAGACCATCAGAGAGAAGAGAGGTCATTTTTATATGATGATTTTTTTTTTTTATGCATGAAACCGCTGCCGTAAAGGAAGGCGTCAGATGAGTTGAGTCACAGCACGCTGCAGAAACGGCCTTTGTTTACATTTTTCACGATAATGGGTTTGTTTGACTTTTTAAAGTACAGAGATGAAAGGTACCGTGTTGACCACATGGAGGCACCAAAATCATTCTTCTGTAGCCTGAGTTAAAATCCAACATGGCTGCTACGTGCATCAACATGAAGTTTAAGCAGTAACTGTAGAGCTTATTAGCAGCTTAGTCCTCTTTTTGTGTAGTTAAATCAATCACACCGATCAGCTAAAGTACAGAGTATCGTGCAAGCGCTATCCGAAGACATGTTGTCATCATATTTTTGCGTCACAAACTATCCAGTAGTGTGTTTTTACCTGGCAACCGCTAACAAAACAAAGATACTCCTGGAGGTGTCCATGTTGTTGTCTGGCTTTTTGCCAGCTCTTAACCATTATGTGGTTATCTTGGGTGTGAGGTCATTCCCAACACCGAGATCAGAGTTTGGAGGTAAATGGAACGCACCATATGAGCTGTAGACTTGTGTTTTTAAAAAAGATGCAGATCTGCATCAGGTACTGAACTGACCCTTTTTTCTTTTTGTTAATTTACAAAAAGCGAATGTATATTTTCTCCCTAATGAACAGTATGCTGACAAGAAAAACTTGTAACAAGTTTCAAATCAAACTGTATGTGTCTCACTCTTCAAACGCCTGTGTGTGAACTGACAGCTCATCAGGACGTCTCAGTCTGTTCAAGTGTTTCTGCCTTTTCCTTTCTTCTTCTGGTAACGGGTCATTTCATTTCAGCGCCGTCTGACTGTCCCTGCAGTGCATTTCTGACATGTGATAACACTCACTTTGAATTGTTCCTTTTAGTTGACTTCACATGAATAAACTGATTCATAATGAGAAAACAAACAAGCATGTGGTGCTTTTCTCCCAAACTTTGCTTTATTTATAACATAACATTTACATATCATGTTTCATCTTTACAGCCTCTCTCTCATTGTGCATTATAAAGTTAAAAAAAAACAATAAAAAACTTCCTTCAGATTAATTCAAGTAAGTTTGATGTTCCAGCTTGATCTACTACCGAGATCTTATTGAACCAGCAGACGTTTAAGGATTAACATGTTGTGCCATTTGTCTTCTGCGTCTCTCCTCTTAAAGTTCCTTCAAATCTGAGACTCTTAAATTAACTTTATGCATATCACATCTTTGTTAAATAATCAATTATTTAACTCGAGTACTTAACAAGTAATCTGGGTAAATACAGCGAACAAAAGCCGGCATACTTCTGACATCTCTCCTGAAGGAAACAATGTATACACCTGAGCTTTCAAGGTCACATATTCTCCTCCTCTTCTTCAGTGTAAATAACTCTCAGAGCTCCCCAAAACATGTGTGAAGTTTCTTGTTCTATATCCACTCTGATCCTGTATTTGATCATGCCTATAAACCCCTCTATTTCAGCCTTGATCAGAACAGGTTGTTTCTGTGTCTGTAGCTTTAAATATGTAAATAAGCTGTGTCTGACCACGCCCCCTCTCTGGTAGGGCTCGTGTGTCTCGGGCTTTCTCGCTCCATGTCCTATTTTTTACGGTGAGAAGGCAGACTCAGAGGGCAGAACAAACAACTAGCTGTGGGAGTGTCACCCACCTGGGGGAGGAGTTACTGCCTGACTTTTTAAACAGCGAGTTATACGACCAACTGTTTAAAGACTTACACTGCTTACACATGTACAGGATGAGAGTAAAGAGGCACCGCTTTGTCAACAGCTTTGTTTTTATTCCAAAATGGAATAAAACCAAAAGTTCCTCGCAGGAGCTTTGATCTGAAAGACGTAGTAAAGAACAGAAAAGAAGTACATTCTCTGGCAAGAGCCGACGATGAAGGTCAAATGCCTCCATTTAAACCAGGGATTTAACAAATGCATGAACAGTCAGGAAAAAAATGATTTCCACCACACAGCTTCTACATCACCGACTCTACAAGAGCACCTGAAGAAAGCCCTGAGGCTTCCCTCCTTCAACAGTTTATCTTTTCATCTTCAAGATCTTTCATCACGAGCACCCTGGAGTTCATCACCCTGCCACCGAGAGCACCACGTGTTTCTTCTTTGCCCAGGTACAGGAAAGCATTTTGAGACCCCCTATGTCAATGTGATATTCCAGCTGATAGCCCAGAACAGAACGGACATCTTAAAAAAAACTAAAAATTCTCCTGTGTTGATGTGCAAAAAACAAAAACTAATTGAGAAATACATCAAAATTAGTTTTAACAAATCCATAAAGATGTGGACAACCATGACAATTTAAACAACAAACAAAAATAAGCTTTGGTTTAGTGCTAATATTGGAATGTTTTATAAAGATATAATCCACCATTTACGTTTGACGCTAAAACACTCAAGTTTAAGATTATTAGATTTGAAAACACATTTCTATATATACACAATTATTACGTGACAGCTGCTGTCATCATATTGAGATATAGTGGATGTTCTTACTCAGATTAAAGTACCTTGTAGGTTCACAATACAAATACTGCAGTTCAAGTCTGTTTAAGAGAAAAGTATATGAGAGTCTTCTTCTCGATGCAGCTGAGTGTTTCAGTTTGAAGGATTCATCTTCAGGTTGAACTGAAACGCATCACTTTGAAGTGATGATGCACCACATAAACGCAACAAAAAATATTGAATTCAAAGGTTTTATCCCTCTTGAAGTGAACAGATAAATATCTTTAAATGGAGTGAGTGCATACAGTGTTGTCTGACTTTTTTAAATCTAAAGGCTGGGCGCCCACTAGACGATTTTACGCCCAATTTTGGCCTCGACTCAAAGTTTCTCACAACTGATTATGTGTCCAAATAATCCTCAAGTGTGTGGCATCATTACGGTTATTATACTGCTCCCTATCGAGTCAGAGTATCCGTCCGCAATAGCCAATGAGAGCGAGCAGAACGGGAAGCGTCACCAACCGGATGTTGCGTACCTTTACAGCTCACAAACATGGCAGCGAACATAAACACAACTGACCTGAGCCGAATATTGAAAAAGAAGAGCAGCTTGTGGAATTATGGCAACAACACAAAGTTGATGATGCAAGTTTCTGTGAGATCTCGTGTCTGTGAAATCATTACTGCGCTCTCGCAGTCAGGTCGACATAAAATCTGTGAAAGCTCTCCTTATGTCTGTGGTCTCCCATGTTTTTCAATCCGGACAAGATTTGAAATCATCTGGTGTGTATCCAGCCTAGAAAGGGTGACATAATTCTGACAAGTTTCACAAAGTAGCATCTGACCACATTTTACACTTCCTTCATTTCTTTGGATAAATTTCTGATATGTGCTAGCGGGTTTGTCGTGCGCCCGACATTAAGAGGCTGCAGTCCTTGAAGCAGCTGCACCTTTCCCTCATGTCATTCCCCAGTCGCTCCTCCTGATTTCAGTTTCCACTGATCTGTCTCTAAAATAAAGACAAAACAAGCCCCTAAAATAAATCTAATTAAAAAAAATGTGCAAGAGATGAAACCCCAGAGCAGGCTTTGGTCAGCAGGGTCGTTTTACTGGAAAGGTTCAGCAGAGTCTTTGAGGACATTCGGACTGTCAGTCAAAGTGTGAGGGTTGGATTGGATCAGCACCACAGATAAGTTTGTAGTAGACGTTTTCCAAGAAGGGCAGCTGTGACTGAAGGAGGTCGACGGTTGTTACGGAGATGTTTCTGCACCTTGAGATGTCGAGTGTTCGCAGGCGCTTGCAGTGCTGCACCAGGACGAACAGGGATCTGAGGGTTTCAGAGATCAGCAGGTTTAGATGTCATTCTTTACCACAGGCTGCAGGTACAGCACACGTGAGTGTAACTCACCTGTCAGTGATGTTATTACAGCAGGACAGGTAGAGATGATGCAGTCGGTGGAGGTATGGCGCAGCCTGTTCCACTCCACGGTCGCTGATCCCCGGGCAGTGGCTGAGTGTGAGGCTGGTGAGGCTGCGGCAGTGCCAGGCTACGGACGCTAAGCTGGTATCAGTGATCTCTGGCAGCATGGAGAGAGACAGACGCTGGAGGTCCGGGAAACGCACCACCTGAATAGAGGAGAAAAGCTCCTGTCAGTGATTGTTTAGAATTTCAAACCTGACAAAAAAGCTGAAACGTCGTCGTCCCCTGCCACCTGTGTGATGCTGCTGTCGGTGAGTTTGGAGCACGCGGAGAGGTCCAGCTCCTGCAGCCTGCTGAGTGCTAACAGTGAAGACCCAGGCTGCTGCTTGAACTGCTCCAGGTCATTATTTGTCACCAGCTTTGGTCTCTCCAAGAACAACAAACGAGGGGGCTTGAAGAAGCCCATGTTGCCAAAGGTCCGAGTGAACCTGGGCTCCTTGTCTCCCTGTTGAAACCAAAGCACAAATTTAAAATACAAGTCACTTCTAAAGCAGGGGGTCCAACTCAACCACAAATAAAATAAACAGGCTTAAGTCTAGAGCCAAAGGTGTCAACATTTATTAAGCAACAGATTTCACTGCATGCTATATAACTGTGGGCTAGCTATGATTGACATATGGTATTGACATAAATAAACAGAATGGATTGATGGGCGTGGTTCTCACCGTCTCCTGGTCGTGCTCACATTTGGCAGTCTCCTCCATGCCCAGCAGGCCCCAGTCTGTGACTTCTTTACAACAGGCGAGCCGTAGAATGACCAGCCTCTGCAGGTAAGTCGCGATGGCGCGCACTGACAGGTCGGTGACGTTGACACAGGACGTCAAGTCGAGCTCCCGGAGAGAGTCCCCGAGAAGCTGGGTGAGAGAGAAAACTGCAAGATCCTGAGGGGGGGGAAGAGCGAGAAGCATGTTTTTCGTAATGTGTTTTTAAAAAGACATGTATATAGACACTGGACAAAAACACAGACTGACCCTGATGTAGATGCAGCTTTTGAGGCTGAGCGTCTCCAGCTGGGCTCGGGCCGCCCTGGATCCCGTCAGGCCTCTCACTATCTCTGTGCCGCTGACGTGCAGACACTCGGACAGATCCAGACTCCTCAGGGTCGACACAGACACAAGGTCAGCGAGGCCTTTGGAAGAAAAGAAATCATCTCTTGTACTCAGGAGTGTTTTTACAGGCGAACAGAAAGCTGAGGAAACTGTATCTCACAAAGGCTTCCACGTTATGGTGTCGGTTCTTTTATAGTCACAAATTAAAATGTAAGTCTGATAGAAACAGAACGATGGCTACCTTTTTCAGTGATCCTCCAGTCGTGGGATAAGGACAGGTGTGTCAGCGACTTCAGGCCCTGAGCTATGGCCTCTACAGACCTGTTGGTCAGCTCTTTGCAGGCGCTGATGTCCAGTATCCGGAGGCTCGGCTGGTGCTTCACCAGAATCTCCACAGAGTAGTCCGTCAGCTCCTTACAGCCGTGCAGACACAGCTCCTCTAAGACTAAATCCTGCACCTGGAACAGAGAGAATATTAAGTGAGTAAAGGACACTATAATTCTTAAAGTGTGAGTCTACTTGTGAAACTATTTATGTTTAAAGAAATAAGGGTTCAAGCTTCATTGTTAAAAACATGATGTGAGCAGATGGTGCCTGCAGATGTAGCTGCTCATGGAATTAACCAAAGGATCTGTTGTTTCAGACTTTCTGACCTGTGCAACAGTTCGCAGAGATTCGGGGGTAATGGAGGTCCTGCTGAGGTCCAGAGCCTTGAGGGTGGATTTCTGCTCGGTTAACAACCTGCGCAAGTTCCTCAGCGACAGCAATGCGGACGAGTCCTCCACAGCTCCCACGGGGCAGCCTCGGTACGGGTCGAACTCGAAGGCGATGTGACAGCCGGCCAGCGAGAGGCGGCGAAGGCGAGGGGTGCAGCCAGTGATCCGGTTAAAGGTGAGGTCTGAGAGGTAGCGCAGGTCTGACAGGTCCAGCTCCTCCAGACCACACAGAGCTGAACTGACCTGGAACGAGAAGGCAACGCAATTTATATGATCTATCATGAAATTAGATACTGAAATCAGTTTTTGCCCAAAATTAAATAAAAGGCAGCTGAAAACAGGGGAGTCTTCATCCTACTAATAAACGAACTGGAATTTAAGCAGACCTGCAGTTTTCAGATAACCAAACACACACAGAGTATTAAAAAAACTGAACGCTGCTTCTCCCTGTTTACTCCTGAGTCTGAAGACAGAAAGCAGACACGACCTAGATGTAGGCAAACTCCTCAGTACTGTTGTGACTGCACAAATATGTTAGCCTTGTTTAGTTCTCTCTCTCTCTCTGTCTCTCTCTCTTCCCCTCACAGCTGAACATAGGCCTGATGAGGATCTGTAGTTATTTTAAAGCTTTGGTTCTTTCTGACACCATCGATCATGAATACCACAGAGATGGTATCGTTTTAAAACAAGTGGTATCGAAAGGAACCAAACTTTTTTAACTTCATAGAGAATGTCATGGCTATTTGACAAAAACAAACAAAAGGTGTTATTACAAAAATGTTAACGGTTAACAAACAGCCACTGATGCTCCGTTTCAGATGGTTTGTATGCAGACAATAAGAAGTTCAAAGTCCAGTCGTGAGTCACTTGTCTTCATTTAATTCAGATCATGTAAACTAGCAAACATCTCATTGACCTGGTAAAACACAAAACGTATAGAAGACAGAGATTGACCTGAGAGAAACTTTTACTACAGGTGGAAAAACAATAAAGCTGTGAGCACAACACAACGATAATAAAGATTGAATATGGGGCAGTAGTGAGAAAGGCAACATTTATCTAGCGCAGTACTGATGGAAAAGCCCAGCAGTTATTCACATGATCACTTCTGTAATCCCTGCCATGCCAGCCCATAATCACGCTCGACGGCAGATATCCGGAGATAAAAACCAGAGTGTGAACGATCATGGGAAAAAGTAACAAAGCGATATCTGTTCTTTCTGTGATATGAAAAAACACACCAAAGAAATGCAGTGAGTTTCAATAAGCTTAAATCTGGACATTAACATGATTAATTAATTAATACTTTAAGTCTATTTATCTCAGGCGGCACTATAGGAGGAAAACATGTGATGTGCAATGCTATTTTTTAAGTGTAATAAATAAATTAACAGCTAATTAATTTGCTTTGCAGCGTCTCAGCGACTAAAATGGCTTTGGTCAAGTTTAATGATATATCTCCTGAATACGTCATCTCCAGTATTTAAACTCAGTCAGCCTATAATTGCTTTTTGGACGGTCAGTTCAGGACTCATGAGATCTACAACCCACTTCATCTCACCTTTACATCACATATAGTACCTGCTGTCTGTGCTCCTCCCGGGAGAGGAACGCTCCGGACATGAAGAGGCTGTCCAGGCCCCTGAGGTCCAGCCTGCGGAGAGAGGTGAGGCGAGGGAGGAGGGTGAGCAGAGAGGCCTCTGTGATGCTGCTCCCAGGCAGGGCCAAGCTCTCCAACTTAGAGCCCAAACACAGACCCACCTGAAGACGGGAGACAAAAAGACACAATCACACCAGGGGAGAAAATTAATCAGCAGGGAGAATATCCTGTCCTCTTGAGTCCTTGCTAGTGAATAACAATACCAATACCACAACACAAAGTAAAGGCCTGGGCACCCAATGTTGAATAATATCTTGTTTTAAATCACCCAAAATTTCAAACAAACTAGTGATTACTGTCTAAAGTGCAAAAATGTATCAGCAACTTTTCGGTACCAAAACAATGCCAATGTTTTTGTGTAATTCAAACCGTTTTATCACTCATAATCCAGGTGGAGCCAATCTGTGACCACCGCTGCTCTTTCGACTGAATATCTGTAAATGGTCAAATGACTTGAGGATGTATATCCATGTGGCAAGAGAGAGAGAGAGCGAGAGAGAGAGAGACGTGGGTTGGGCTTTTATGCCTGAGCAGGCTGCTTTGAATGTGGTGTGAATGTGACTTCGGGGGCTCCTGCAGCCAGCCTCATGCAGACACTTGAAATGCAGCATTTTGCACTTCCACATTGGCTTCATTTTTCAAGATCTGAGTTTGACGCTTAGTTATTCCTTATATTTTACAATCTTTTAAAATGTCCATTGTTTGGAGCGCAGTGGTTAGTGCGTGCGCCCCATGTACTGTATGGAGGCTATGGTCCTTTCCCGCATGTCATTCCCTACTCTGTCTCCCTGATTGCCGACTCTATCCACTGTCCTATCTCTACAATAAAGGCACAAAAAGCCCCAAAAATAAATCTTTAATAAAATGTCCATTGTTTAATATTCTATTAATCTCTCGTTTACAAATGTTTATATTTGGCAAATGTTTCTCTTGATTTTGTTTTATGCACAGCTCTTAGAGGCAAACCTGGTGACATCAGGATATAATAAACTTTGCCTTGACTAACTTAAGCTTTGCTCTGAACTTTGGACCATAAAGGGTGTAATCAAGGCACGGCTACAACATCCTGATCAGCATGACGAGATGCTAAAAATATATGACTGATACCAAGCAAATACAACGTATGATTGCCTTCCATGAGAGCAGAGTTTAATAACTGGTTCCCAGCAGAATCAATTCCACTGAACTTGGGTTTGCACAAAAGGTTGTTTCAAAATTATTCTATAAGCCAGCAAGGTGGAGAGTTTTCTGAACTCACAAAGGGTGTGTGATCTTTTAAAACGTCCCAACTAGGTCTTCACATGACAGCAGCAATATAACTTTTAAACAAAAACAACACTGTTAAAGGAGTAATATGTAACTGACACCTAGTGTTTAAAATGGGTACTGCAGTCTAAATTCTAAACATTGTAGAGCGCTCTCTCCCCCCGCCCCCTCCTCTCTAGAGTCCATGCTCACACAGGTCACCATGTGGTGGACACTGAAGCTTCAGTGTTTATCCAGCTCTGCATGGGTCTGTAAACCTTTCTGTGTTCTAACCTCTCTCCATTTTTCAAAAGCATCTCCAATATTGATCCTAGTTTGAGCACGTTTCTTCTCGTGGAGCTTATTAGAAACATGCAGAGGCTTTTTAGGTCGGGTACAATCACTTCTATCTGAACCACTTCTCTTGCCCGCTTCCATCGCTGCAACACCTGTTGGTTTGACCTGATAACTGCTCTCATATCTGGCAAACCGAGGGGCGTCCAAAACGGCCGTGTGGGGGGGGGGGGGGGGGTGCCTTAAAACCGCCTACCTTCTCTGATCCAAACAAATCCAGAGCATTCAGGAGCAGAATCTAAAGTTAGAAGGAGGACATACTGACTGCTGCATTGTTGTCAGAGAAGCCAGCACTTCAACATAGCATGTTTCCTTAATGTCTGATCATATAGTAAGATACCTTTATCATTTCATTCTCTTCATATCTTACTGATTGCTCCTTTAAAGTACAGAAGGCAAATATTTCAACCCTAACAGAAAATAACAAATTTTTCACTCATCAAAAATCTGCTCTGATCCCCATATGACAGCTATCTAGCTTCATCTGTAGATGCCAGTAAATATTATAGAATAGACTGGACTTTTGGATAAAACGTTATTTGATAAAACATACTAACAATACTAAAATCTGTACACAGTTTTTTAACATGTTAGGGATCATCCACAATGAGTGACGTAGCATAATCTTGTATTCATAACTTTTTAAGTCAATAGTCATAAAACACTGCAGAAAGCTCAACAGGCCCAACAGCAAACACAGTCTTAAACAAAACCAGAAAACCTGCTTTGTTTGACTGGAACAGAAAAAAGACTGAAAGTGAGTGATACTCTGAAGAGGAGCATCAGCAAGAGAACCCAGGAAAGTTCATTATAAACACTGTGCTGAAGAAAATCTGATATCAACCCCGCCCCAAAACCACTAGACTCCCAACAATGTAGATCATATGGCCAAGAGGAAGGTCTGAAATAAATCCAGTGAGGCTACACTCTCTAGTTCTTATTCATGGTTTATGTACAGCTACCCAGCTTAATGACTGAAATGTGCTAAGTTCATTTAATAGAAACATTTTATTGGGGCCGGCCTGGGTTCGAGTCTGACCTGTGGTTCCTTTCCTGCATGTTGTTCCCCCACTCTCTCTCTCTATCCTCTTTCCTATCAAATAAAGGCAAAAAGCCCCTCCCCCCGAAAGAGAAACCGTTTACGACACCTCCAGGAGCAGCGATCTGGACATGCTGTGTCCATCCAGCTGGCTGATGATCAGACTGCAGCGTGACTTTGTGCCCAGACCCCTGATGAGCTCCAGGGACGAGGCTGAAGCTGGGAAGCAGAAGGTGACGCTCTTCTGCAGAGAGAGAGGGAGACAAACAGATGAAGAGGTATCATGATGCAGCATGTTCTTGTCGGACAGTGAAAAACACTCCCCTAATGCAGATGGTCTCTGCTCAGGTGCAGTATACCTGAAAGCTGTGGTCCTGGCTGGCATTGTACCAGCTCTGACACACCAGTGAGGCCTCCTTCCTGTCTGAAACGTGAAGAAAGCTCAGGATGTATACTATGATCTGCAGAAAGACAAAGAAATAAAGAAATAAGAAGAAAGAAATAAAGTCGGAAATTCCAAGTTGCTGGTGTGACACGTCATCAGGAAGTTGGAATCCTGACTTGGAAACTCAGAGAATCTTCAGTAGAGTTAAAATCAATCATGGCTGCTTCAACTTTAAAGATGTACCTCAGTCCTCTTTTTGTGTAATTAAATCAATCACATTGATAGTATTTTACAAAGTCTATCAGTAGACATGTTGTCATGTTATTTTCTCACACAAACTATAACGTATTGTGCTGTTATTACTCCGTATTAGCTGACAAAACAAAGGTACTCCTGGATGTGTTAGTAGGTAGTTTCCCGCTGTGAGGTCAACAGCTAGGTCAGGAGGAGCAGTCCTGAAATGATTGAGATAATTTATAGTGCATATGTGAAAGCAGCTTTTAGAGAGTACTAGCCCCTGATTAGGGTCATTTATAGAGGTAGATCTTTGACCCCAGAAATACATTTAGACCATGGTTCCTGCGGTCGAAATGCACTTATAGTTCCTCAAAAAGGTCCCTAGTTCCGGGGGAATGTTCCTGCGGTGGAAAGGGGGCTAAAGACAGGTTTGTGCTATCAGTGTGTCTCTGCCACTGCCAACCTCTCATCTGTTGTTTTATCATCATAAATAAATGAACTGACCTCCAGCGGCAGCTCGGGTGTTTCTATTATGTCCTCCCCATCGCAGTTTTCCATCTCAGCTTCTCCTTCGTCTTTTTTTATTAAAGACTGCGAACCATCACACCTGTCTCATATAGCCATTCACCCTCAATACAATGTTCATATTTCCAACCAGTGGGAACAAAAATACGAGCTATGCGGCCTTATGTCACTCCACTAATCTACTTTACAATGCACCTCAAGCTGTATCTGCTCCTCCGTCAGCCCTCTGACTTCAGTTGGAACAGCTGACCGCAGAGTAACACACTGACGTCAGAGGGAGGAGCTTCTCTTCTTCTCTTGTTTTTTTTTGGGGGGGGGGATCGCAAACAACTTATAGGTGCATACCGCCACCTACTGTAAAATAGTGTGTAACTTCATGTCATCAGTCATGTAGTAGTGCCTGAAGAAGTGGGTGCACTTTGCTCTATTTTTTTTAAGCGACCCGTCCAGCAGAGAATAATATGAGGGACAAAAAATGACTAAAGTATAAATAAATAAATAAATGTTGGGAGAAATGCATACAATAATGTATAAATAAATAAATAATTAAATAAATGCATCAATAAATATAGAAATAAATATATAAATGCTGAAAACAATACATCAATGAATAAATAATAAATACACTTTGTTAATGTAAAAGGCTATTTATATATTTTTACATATATTTATTCATTTATTAGCGTATTTCTACAGTTATATATGTATTAATGCATACATTTACACATTAATTGAGTTATTAATTTATTTCTGTGTCCAGGTCGTAAGAGGAAAAGTGTATATGTAAATTTGCTTCTGTCTGCTTTTCAAAATTGACCAATCCTGGGGCGCTGGTGGTGCAGTGGTTAGTGCCCCCATGTATGGAGGCTGTCATCTCAAGCGGGCAGTCCGGGTTTGCATCCCACCTGTGGCTTCTTTCCCGCATGTCATTCCCCACTCTCTCTCCCTGATTTCCAACTCTCTCCACTGTCCTATCTCTCCATTAGAGGCGTAAAAAGCCCAAAAATAAATCTTAAAAAAAAAAATAATAATTACCAATCCTCCTTCAGTAATGTTAGGACGGCCCACTTAATTTACATATTTACTTTTCCTTGTACAACATGGACACAGAAATATATAAATAAATATATGAATATATTTACTTATATATTTATTGATGCATTTATTTATTTATACATTATTGTATGCATTTCTCCCAACATTCATTTATTTATTTATTTATTAATTAATTAATTTTTACTTTAGTCACTTTTTGTCCCTCATAGAATAAACGTCCTCTGTTAGAAAAATTGACACGTAAAAACTTCAAGAAAAAGCGAAAGACCCAGCTCTCTACGGCCTTAATGATGATAATGACGATGGTTTTAATATTATTGATGATGATGATGATGGTAATGACGATGGTTTTGTTGGATAACGACGATTGTTGAGATGGTTTCTATACTGAGTAGGCCTAGAGCTCTGAAGAGCAGCCGTCAATGTTGTGCTTTGCCTCTGGTCACTTCCTGTCAGCAGTCTATGGCCAGCACCTGTGGGTCCGATATGACTCAAAGCTGTTTGTTTGCACTAACTGACATTGTTTCCTCTTTTCTAGATCCTTGCTTGTGTTGTACTTACTCTCTGATGTACGTCGCTTTGGATAAAAGCATCTGCTAAGTGAATTGTAGAATTGTAGGATTGTAGAAGACTCCTTTTGCACATTTAGTCAGTAAATACTTGCCAATTAGAGACAGAGTAAGGAGGGTCATTCCATCAACATAGGAAAAGAAATTGCCGCATACTATCTAATATTGACAATCAATCAATGGTGTGAATCTGGGGGGATTTAAAAGTTGGTATACGCTATGCAGACTGAAAAATAAGTGTGTACAGTATACTCCGTATACCTGCGTATACCCTGTATTATACCACTGCATGTCATTTACCTATACTTTTAAATTCTCTCTGACAACCTTATGTTCCCTCCTGACAGCTCTTATCCCCTCTGCTTCTTCCTCTCTGACCAGTATTCCTCCCATATTCCACTCACGCCTTACAGCTCTGATTTTCGTTTGCAACCTCTCACTCTCACAGCTGCATACTTAGAGGGATGTCCTTTTTCGTAACTGTTTTGCTAGTTTGTCAGCACACTCATTGTTGTCTTTCACTCCAAGAAAGGCAACAATGAGGCCAGAGGGAAGAGCATTCTGGGAAATTAGTTATCTTGTTCTTATTGCACATATTCACACTGTCCACCTAAAGCGATCAATTTTCTTGAAATATACAGACACTATAGTCTGGCTTTGCACCACCGGGCCTTCCCTCAGTGTAATGTCTAAAACCTCTCCTGGACCACACTGAAGACCTCCGTGCAGAGATCTCCAGGCTACATAAAGAAATGGAGGATATGGCCATCAGCCCCAAGTTTGGTTTGGAGGACATTACATTTTAGCAAGTTTGTTGTATTTCAGATGATTTATTCTGTTCAGCTAGCATTAAGCATTATGCTTTTTTTCCATAGGCAATATCTCCCAACCCTACATGATAATAAAGAAAAGTGATATTGCATTCAAAAACAAAGTTTATCCAAATTATAAAAAGTGAAATTGCAGGTGAAATGAAATATAGTATGGACATATGAAAGTGATCATTGCACATGATAATGAGCCCAGTTTGGAAATGCTTTACTCTGCATTATACAAAACAATAAGATACATTTTGCACATGGCTATGGAAAGCTAAGCTCCCCTTTTCCTGCAGCAGAGAGTGGAGGAGTTCTACAGCTTGATGGCCAAAGGTAGAAAAGACCTCCTGTGGCACTCAGTGGTAATCCTCGGTGGTGTCAGTCCCCAGCTGATGCAGCCCGCATCTTGGACTCCAGAGTGGCATGCAGGTGGTGAGAGGTAACTTTGATCTATTTTATCCGATTATCATTTTTCTTGTGTTTTCAGAATTGCTTTCTCAAAAACCTTCAACATCAAATTTGGAGATAAAGACATTGAAAAACTTGAGGGATGTAGGAACTTTTGGATGAAGAGGAAAGTCATTGAAATTCATGAAGACAAATCTGCTGTATGATATAAATAGGCTTAACATGATTTAAAAATTAAGCTTTAAAAGCTTTGTTTCACCTCAACTGTGCAGGTTGCAGCAGGTAAAGTCATGTGTTCAGCCTTCTAATTAGAGAAACACCTTAGACTAATATGGGCAGGCAGAGGAGGGAGACAAGCCACTACTTAATCTGGACGTCATTAAGTGGGTTTCAAAACAGACCTCATCATCCATGTCTCTCCAGCTCTCTGATTGAACTTGCCAGTCCTGCAGTCTAAAGTACGCTGTGTGAACGTGTGAGGTTTCTTTTTTCTCTCTGGGAGCTCGGCAGGTGTGTGATGATATGAGAGCTGTGTGGATAAAGCGACCGTTGCTCTCACTGGCTGGGGTTGGGCTCCTCATCTACATTGGTACTTTTCTAAAAGGCATGTATGAACATAGGGGGGATGACAAGGAGATGGACACATATAGCCAAGGGTTTTTCTGGCAAGGAGGCAATCATCAGCAATCTCTGTGAGTCGAGCATGCTTTGTTCAAAAGTAAACTTCAAGACAGTTGCTGATTTTCTATACATTTATTTTATGTGCATTTAAATACATTTTGTTGAATAAATTTGAAGGCCTGTGTCACAGATTAAAAGTCTAATAAATGAGTTAAATTATATGACAGCTACACCATAGCCCATTATTCTTTTTTAATAGCAGAACATTTGATCTTATATTTCCTTGTCTTTCTTTGGAATTTCATTGTAAATAAGATTTAACAGAAGTTTCCCATGGTTTGCTCCAATTTCCAAGTATTCTGCTTCTCTACCTCGTCTGTACATTTGCTGTAGCCTGAAATTGCAAAGTGCCCTTTTAAAGACAAGTTTACAGCTCGCACCTTAACCCCTAAAGAGAAATCCAGGTTCATTTTATAATCCTGGAAGTGAAATGTAGTTTGCTTTTGTTCTTTGACTGAATTGTATTGATAAAATTACAATATCTGAGATTTCATTTTAAGGCCATATCGCAGCCCTACCTCTCATTCCTCGCTCTCAGTCTCCATTATCCTTCTTTCTCTTTTTTTCCCCAGACAAAGTATTCAGTTCTTTAGAACAAAAGCAGGATGCCATGCAGAAATTACTCGAGGAAGACAGGGACACACGAAGAGTGGCCGCAGAGGTTGATCAGATACCTGCCAGAAAACAGCCAGAGCAGGAAGAGAAAAGGGAAACAAAGAACAAGGACCATAAAAAGATCCAGCACCATACAGAAAATAAGTCGAAATTACTGTACCCTCACTCTGCCCTGTTCAAGGAGTGGGGGACGAATCTGTCTGAGGATGAACAAAGAGAGGCAGAGGGATTGTTTAAGAAGTATGGATACAATGTTTTTCTCAGCGATCGCCTTCCTCTAGATCGACCTCTGCCAGACACCAGGGACCCAAGGTATATGTAAGACATGGTTTGATGTCAGACTTGTCGTTTCACTTCAAACTCAGAGATAAGTTAAACAAACTCTTTCTATAGACTCCCTCTACTTAAAGGCAGGGTTGGCAATTTTCTCCAGATACACTTTTTAAGATTTTGGTTGAATTGTCATTAGGTCCTGACAGACATTAATAACTCATGTTCTCTGAATAAGGAACTAAGAAAATCTGTCTTCTGTAGCAGTTGTAAGCCTGTAAAAATGTCTGCCACGAGGTACCAATCTGATGAACCAATCACAGCCTCCCTGTCTCTCTGCTCGCTCTCTACCCCATGCATGCACAAGCCCACACTCAAAGCATGAGCTGAGGTCCGCTTCTGGACCAATGGCGCTCGTGCATGTAAGTGAGGGGCGTGGCTATTGAGGGAGCAGAGAGGGGAGGGGGTGGGTGCAGACAGGGCACTGAGGGAATGCTACTTTTAAAATCATGCTAGTTTTCGAAAATTACCAACCCTGCCTTTAAGTAGTACATAAACTCCTGATTATTTAATCTGAGTGTGCACAATCTGATTTTTCAAGGCATGTATGTGTAAGCAAGAGCGGGTATTTTCCATCTCAGAACATATAGATGTTTAGATAAACAGGGCCCAACATCTGTGTGTCCACACATGACACTGTGGATTATGGTTGTGTTTCTAAAGACATGTATCATTTTAAAAACACAAATAATTTCTAATCTTTGGGGATTCTAAAGTACATAGCCGTGTAATAAAGGGGGGAATGTATAGTGAGCGTGTTGTTAAAGTGGAGGA